CGTTTGCCTCATATTATGACACAAGATTAATTTTTTTCAGCGTGTCTTCATATAAAAATACATAAAAAATTTCAATTGTTTATAATAAATGTATGCAAAATTCTTTTATTTAAACAAATTTACCTTAATTAAATGATCATTCTTATAGTCTTAACATTGTTAGTGTGTAAAATTTAATTTATTTCTACAGAGTGGTCCCAGAGATTCTATTTTTTCAATTTTACCGTGCTCTTAAGTATGACAAAATTATTAACTTTAAAGTAATTCCATGAAATTTTACCTAATGACAAAAGCTTGACATCTCAGATTTTACTAAAAGTTTTGGGATTTGAAGATCAATGCTTGGGATGAACTAAAATCACAATAATATTTTTTTATTTAAACACCCTGAGAGGCCATGTTGACCGGTTTGCATAAAATATTACCAAATCGGTTTCTAAGAAATCCTTTTGTAACTTTTTTGTTTATTAATATTTTTTATCGCGTAATATTTTGTTTTAACCATGAAACAATGTACTTCTTATGTATATACCGTAAACACGGGTGACTGCACCCCGCGGGTGACTTTAGCCCGTTTATGAAAAAACATTTGCTATATGTCGCTGCTAACATATGTCTAATAAAAATAAAATAAAATATTGAGTTAATTTTATACGGAAAATACACTGTGAAACAAAGTAACCCGCAACCAGGGGGTAACTTTGCACACCCAGTATTTAATTTTTATTTTTGAAACTCAGTCCTATGTAAGATTATAACATAGTTATTATGAAAGAGCAACTCAAGACTCAAATTCTGGTATACAATATTTAATGTTTATGATTGTTAAAACTTCAAAAATGTTAAGATTAAGTTTGAAAGTGAGCTAGTGTTTACGTTACCTAAAATTACACAAATGTTTTTAGAAGTGCAGTTTTTTTAGTGAAAAATTCACGCTTCTTTTAACTGAAAAGTGAATTTTCTACCATTGATATTATGTAGTAGTCTATGGAAATTTGATATGTATATTTTTATTTATAGTACTTATAAATATCGATTAAACTATAAAATTATAAAAAAGTACCCAAATTTCAGGAAATACCATTTTTATTATAAAAACTGCATTTTTTCGTCCTGAATGAAAATTGTTCAAAATTTAACGGAATGTTCTCCTCAATATATACTAAAAACTGTAAAAAAAAATATTGTGTATTTGCCTTGCTAAGAAGATACAACGGTTTAAAATGCGACAAATTTTATAGAAAATAGCATTAAATTTATATATGATTTTTGTTTAAGAAGGCTTTGATATAAAAGTCAAACTATATGGTACATGTTTACATGTTTTAAAATGTGCTCCGTTGGACAATTCCTGACTGAGAAGTGTCAAAAACTGATGAAATGTGATATTTTATTACAAAATATCGAAAAACCTAGTACAGATGTTCAAACTCTTTTAAAATATATAAGAGTAAATGATAATTTTCAAAAATATGTGTATAAATATTTTGTAATTTACTTTACCTTTAATTTACCAGTTTCTGATTTCATTGACGAAATATTATCAGCAATAGATTCTTTTGCTGAAAATTTCTAGTCCGTTGTACAAGACGAAATACAAAATTTTCATTGGGTAAATAGTTAGGCCACTTTACATCCCTTTCCATTTCTAGTCCGTTATACAAGACGAAATTCAAAATTTTCACTGGGTAAATAGTAAGGCCACTTTACATCCCTTTGTTATGTATTATAAAGTTGAAAATAATGAATTATATCATACAAGCTTTTGTATGATAAGTGATTATTTAAAACATAACTCTACTGTTGTTAAAAATTTTCTTAAAGAACTTAATTTCAAAAAATAAAATTTTTCGCAAATAAAAAAATAATATATTTTACTTATGGATGTGGAGACAATATAAAAATAAATATAATTTTATTAATTTGGCATATCACAAAAATGACTTTGGTTTGGAAGCAGAGTTGCCACATCGCACAGAAAAGGACCTTGTGATGGAATAGGAAGAACCGTTAAGAGATTGGTTTCAAAAGCAAGCCTGCAAAGACCATATAAGGATTAAATTTTATTACCTTTAGATATGTTTTGCAATGACTATTTCCCTCGTCTTAATTTCCACCAATCACAAATGCGCAATTTTGAATTACAAATGGTTTCTAGGTGAAAAAACTGTGTGACAGCACCTGTCAGCAGTTTTTTCGAGTTTACCCGCGGCAAAACTTGACAGCTATTGTCACCAAAAATTGCAATTTATATTTCAATTGTTAACTGTTACTCATGAAATAGTCTTGTCAAATACCATTCGGGCATCTAATTTTTCCTGTGAAAAAAATCGAAAAAACATAATGCTAAGTAATATTTTTTAACAAAATGCATTCGTGCAGGTGAAAAAATCCTCCTCTTCGACTCGGATTTTTGTTGCCACCATTACTCATGCTTCTTGTTAAAATATTACTTAGCAACGTGTTTTTTCGATTTTTTTTTTCGGAAAAATTAAATTCCCTTATGATATTACTTACGAAAATATAATAGGAACACATTTTTTTGGTATAAAACCTAAAATAATAGATCAACAAAAAATTAATCCTTGTACTAAAAAATACTAGAAGTTTCATTCACTTGTGCCTAAAAATTTACAAATTATTCAGGTTCAAAGTACATCGGAATCAAACCGTAAAAATATTAAACAGAACAAAATTTGCAGCTCTAAAAAACCAATAAATTATGTTAAATTTTAATACGGAAATTTAAATTAACAACTATCTTAATAGATTAATAGATAAATTTAAGATTCCATGTAGAAAAAAAATATAAACGTTACCTTTACCATAGTTTTGTATTATAAATGCAGTAACACGTTAATATTTAAAGCATTGTTCACGATAAAAATAAACAATTTCTCTGTTAAAAGTATTGCGATCCATCATAGCCCTCAATATGTAATCATTCTTTACCTTAAGATTACAATACAAATATTGTTTGTTTTATTTTATATTAATTATTATGTATGCGTTATTTTGTTAATTATAACAATAAAATAAATATTTAATGTTTTACTATTTAATATTACTTGTCAAACACCTTTAAAATGGCATTTTTTTATCAAAGCCATCTTGATAAAAAATACCATGAAAGTAATTCCATATTCTATACAATTTATGGTATTTCAAACCGTTGTATCTTCCTAGCAAGGCAAAATTGAGTATAATTTTAGGCATATATTTAAAAAGTACATTGTTTTATGGCTAAAACAAAATATTACGCGATACAAAATATTAATAAACAACTAAGTTATAAAGGGTTTTCTTAGACACCGATTTGGTAATTTTTTATGCAAACCGGTTACTTTCTCAGGGTGTTTAAATAAAAAAATATTATTGTGGTTTTTGTTCATCCTAAGCACCCTGAAAGTTTTAAGAAAATCCAATGAGGTCAGCTTTAAATTTTTGTCAAATTTGGTGAAAAATGATAGAATGACTCTTTAGTAACATTAACAAAAAACCGAATTTCAAAACAAATTGTTTACTGTGACATATGCGTCATGCGAACTACATTATAATGTGATTATTTTCAAAATCGGAAATCTCGTGAAATTTTTAGGTCCCACTTGAAAACTTCTGGGAAATGAGTTAAAATAGTTATGTTTTGAGGCTGGTAAATGGCTTAAGTTAACCCTGTTCCGGTTTAAATATTTCCGGAACAATTTAATCAAAATTATTATGACAACAAAATAAAAACACTGTATTTCGGAAAAGAAGTTTCCGGAAATTATCTTTTAGAAAGGAATGTTATTCTGAATATTTTCGCAATAATATTAAAACTTCTGACTTGCTTTAAGATTTAAGACAATCGTAACAATGAACAGCGCCGGATTATAAAAATTTGCGCCCCGGGTCTAATAAAAATTTTCCGCCCATACCTATATAATAAATTCAAAGAAATGTAACTTCTTAACAAAAGGATTTTATTTAACTATAAACATTAGGGTTGTAGTATTTTTTCGAAATTTTTTTGATTTTGGAGATCAAATAAAAAAAATAAGTCTAAAGTATTTGAGTTTCAACAGATAAAAAAAATTTAGACGTCGCTCAAAACTTTTTTAAACCAACCTTTTTTCTTAAAATCTTTGGCTTCTCACTATTTTTTTTGTAGGTCGTATAGGAACAGAATACATTTTTAAGTAAAAATATTATTGGTCGCTCAATATTTTTGAAATACATTTCTTGATTTTTTAAATAATTTTGATCTTGTAACCACTACTATTTTTCCAATTTAGTTGATTTTTTTGAGCGACGTTTATTTTTTTTTGAGTTGAAACTTGAATACTTTAAACTTAAATTGTTTCATGTGAGCTCCGAAATAAAAAAAAATGTCGAAAAAATATTGCCACCCTAAAAACATAAACAAAAACTATATAAAAAACAAATAACTAAATAAGAAAATTAACATTTTGCCAACTCAACTTTGCGTGCTTTTAGAGAAGCAAATTTGTTTATCGCAATATTGACGTCATCTTTCAATAGGCTAATACCTATACTGTATATATACATACATATATATATATGACTGGTACTGTATATAACTATAGTTTTAAACTAATTTAAATTAATAGTTGTTCGTAGTGTAATAAAATATTCTTATATTAAAAAACCTTTACGCCCATACGCATCACATCGGTGGAAATAATCAATTTCTGCAAACTAAAGTTCTTGTCGGGCGCCCTACGTAATATGTGACATGACATATTTCGTATACTATGCATAGATAATAATACTACGGCAACAATCACGGTTATAATTTAAATAATTTTTTTATTAAAACTGATTAATACACGAAAAATAAAAAAAGGGGAAAACCCTTTAGGTTGTAGTAAAAAACAAAAATTACCAGTCAAAAATTTTGCGCCCCCTGTAAGCTTGCGCCCCGGGTCTATAGACCCCCCCTAAATCCGGCGCTGACAATGAATGAAATTTTAAAATAAAAATTATAGTATTATTATTACCTTGCTAATGAGCATATCTGTGTCGTCGAAGTGACGACCGAACATTTTTGGAGATTCTCCGGGCACGGGCTCGATTTTGATGCACACTTCCATGCCTTTTCTTGCGTTCTCCACCGGTTTGTGGTTGTTCTCGATACTTGTGACGATCCCCAATTCAACAAACTGCGAACAAAAAAGGAAAGGATTGGCCCCTAGAAAATCATCTCAAATGTCAACAAACCTCTTTGCTTGGCACGCAGATGGGGGTGCCCTCTTTGAGGATGCCCGCCTCGATCATGACCCCCATGACGATGGGGTCTCTGCTGTTGAAGACGAATTGCGGGAGGATACGGACTTTGCACGGGAACACGGCCACGTGCTTGAACTCTTCCCGTTTCCGCGTCTTCAGTTCCTCGCGGTACGCCATAAATTTGTCAAACAGGTGGTAGATGATGTCCGCCTGGAAAATTTTCACGCCCAACGAGTCTGCCAGTTCTTGCGCGTCGCGTTCCACTTTCACGTCGAACGCCAATATCGTTGCGTATCTGGATGGTAAATATTATCAATATTATTATTGCTCGTCTACATAAGAATCACTTACTGGCTTTCGTGTTCCAACATAATGGACGCCTTCATCACGTCCTTTTTTACTACCGGTCCTATTCTGATACCGCAGTACTGAAAGACAATAAAGGTAAATACTACTTAATGGATTCATTCGAAGGTTCGATTCGTGCTTGTAAGCAGGTAGGAGCACCAGGTAAATGACGCAGGTCAAACCGGGACGAGTAATTAAGATTAATAAGAATGATGGACAAATAAAAAACGACAAACGGCGTAATCTTTTATTTAGCTGTTTGTTCCGAGAATTTTCACCCACCAATTTCCGGTCTTCGACAAACAACAACTGTCTGTCTCGACCAACACACAAGAAACATTTTATAATCCGTTATCGCTATTGCTACTTCTTAATATGTACGCGTAAAAAAAGAAGAAAAAGTCATAAATCACGTCTTTAACCATAAACGAAATCCCTGCCTACGCAAAGAATACTATAAAAGCCATTATTAAGTATTTTTAGACGTAGGTAATTTTAACAAGTGGCGTCAACATCAATTATGTCCAATTCAATAATATTTTAGGAAAGGAAGAAGCTGCTTCCTTTCCACAAATTGTATCCGGCCATATATTTGGGATGGCCGCAATAAAAAATACAATTCGATGCACAGGCACAAACAGGCGCGTATCCAGGATTTCGTTTAGGGGGGTGTCAATTTTTGTATGATTTCACCTATCTTCCAGAAAATTCGTTCTAAAAATTGTATAACATTTTATTTTTGTATACATGGAATACATTTAAATTATACTCTGTTTGTCTGTTTTAAAAAATATTTGAAATAAAAACACAAAGGTAGGCATGAAGAACAGAAAAACAGAAAGAAATCTTAAAATTGGCCAAATGGTGTGCAAAAAAACAACAAGATTTGTAATCGAATGGGCGACGCGTCGTCTGTTTTAGATAAAAAGTCGCCAAATGTTCGTCCCAATGCAATGCAATACAATAAAACCACAGAATAAAACAATACGACATTTTAAGCGGCATATGCAATGCACATTTTGTTGTTTATAGTTATTACGTTATTAAACTTAAACATTACAGTACCTATTGTTTTTTTGGGATTAATAACCTACCTCCTCCGAATTAAGGCAATAACATATGCAATTTAAATTTAGAAAATTGAGTTCGGTTTCGTCGCTGGTGGTGTCGGCTTCGCTTAATGAAATATTATAAAACATAGATGACTTTTCGACCCAGGAGAGACAAAATTGGATTCCCGGTATACAATGGTGGACCCAAGCAGAAGTGGGCCTCGGTGCAAATCATACTTGTGGCCACTGTACCTTTGCCTTCAAGACAAACTTTTCCTTTCTAAATTACTTTAAAGAAAAAATACGCAATCGCTGCTCACTTCTAGATCGATCGATTCAAAAAAACACCGTTACAAAAAGCAGCATATAAAATAGCATAACATAAAAACTTAACAAAACTCTGCTTCTATACACGATAATTTTTTATTATAAATTCAATAAGATCATAGGTACCTTCTTTAAGGTCATGTTTATTAAATAAAGCGACATATTAAACTGATTTACGAACGATTCAGATATTTCCTAGTCAATTCTTCAGATTTTCGTAAAAATAATTCTTGACCTTATACGTATACCTATTTTCACGGTATCATTTGGATTTTGCATTTTTTAAGCCAAATGATCTCGAACGGTGCACTGCGGTGTCCCGTCGCCGCTGCATAATATTTTCATTCTCTTTTAAGGTGTTCGGATGCTCTCGGCAATCTGCACAAATTACCTTTAGCGTAAAAATACGGTTTAAATAAATATTTTAGTAGGTGTGCAATGGTGTATTAATACTTATTATATTATTTAACAATGTCTGGGGGCTCCTATATGATCGGGAAGATCGTCCGCCCCTGGAAATATACCTGTATTTTGGGACAATATCGCAAACTTTGACCTTTTAGTGATTTGTACAATAGATTGAGTGGATGTTTCAAGATTTGAAAATTCACATGTCTGTGGGTGGACAGATTTGAGAAGCGAATGGACATTAAAACTTGTAACTAGTTAGTAAGAGTTTATTTGACTCAAGACCAATTCTCTCGAACGAGATAACATACTGTTTTTGAAGAAGAAATATTGAAAATTAGATAATGCACAATTCGAAGGTAATGCATTTTTATACCTGTCGCATGCAACTGACTGCATGGTAAAAGCGCCGAAACAATAAAATTACATTTTTATCGCGTATTTATTATTATGGACGTCGTCTGGATGATAATAAAAACGAGCGTCGAAAGTCGTAAAAATTCGATTGTATCGAGAAAGCGTATTAGGCTCACTTCCGGTATACGGGCTTTTAAAAATTAACAATAAAAGAAATAAAATAAGCATTGCTTTATAAGCTATTGAAGCGAGTAAGCAGCAGCTTTAAGGGACAGACACCGGAAGCGCGGTACGTGTCGCCTTGCGAATTATGATCCCTTTATACTTTTAAGCCTTTTGCTCCCGCCGCGGCGTCTCATTATCTCTTACACGTACCCGCATTAAACACATACTTGTATTGTCATGCAAAATGGACGGCATTATAAGATTAGCTGGCGACTACCCCACAAACCATGTCGATGTCGACCTGAACGCCGACATTTTAAAATGCCTATAATTACGTTAATTTGCAATGATTTTTTGTAGGGTACAGGGGCGGTTTTTAGGGGTGCGACAGGGGCAACCGCCCTTCCCTAAATATACTGCTTAGTTAATTTTATTACGTTTACATAATAATCAAATTAATTGATATAATAATTGAATTAATAGACTTGCCTGACACCTAAAAATTAAAATTGAACAAAATAATGCCGGCGGAATTGTGTCCAGTCAAGACTGCTATACTGTGACTGCACTGATTAGTAATCAGTGATTACCACTAAACACATGTGCTTGGGTTAGGAATATCCGATTTAAGGTGAGTAAGTCAAATATTGCCACTTTAAGAGAAAAGTTTCTGAAACTTCGGTTGTAATTAATTTAAAAAAGTTTTTTAGTCTAAATCACAACTATATGTATTGTATATAGATCAGTGGCGGCTCGTGACTTAAAAAATCTGGGGTTGCACACATATATAGGTGTAGATATTACGAGAGATGCCAAAAATAAATAAATAATAAATTGGGTCATAAAAATTTAAATTATAAAAATATAAAATTGAAATTAAAAATATGAGACTAAATGCTGAATTAATTAATCATTATACAAACAATAATAAAAACGCAGCGGAAACGTTAACGCGACCCGGCAAAAATAGGTAACACCGATTCACACAAAATGTTGCATTTTTCTGCAACCACTTTCGACCTTATTAAACCAATGATATTGAACGGAATTTAATCACGTGGTCCCAACACGCCAATGCGAAAGCCTGTAATGGTTTGCGACCTTAAAACAAACCGGGAGCCTTAACTATTAAACACTAGATGGCGTGGGATTCGGGCATCGATCAAAGAACCGATACGAAGCGCCGAGCGGGAAATTAAATTATTTGCTTGAAAACTATAGTAAGTTATGATAAGAAAGTTACTGAGAAAATAAAAAAAATATTTCGATGATATTATAATCATATTTTATTTCTTCCTTCTTGGGTGATTTTTTTGGGGATTGTGCAAACCTGCAAACCTTAGGTAGAGCCGCCACTGATATAGATACAAACGGTTTTGTCGGTACCATTTTCCTTAACACATATTTAAAAAATAACTAGGTAAACGACCTTTAAAAATGTCGAACACTTTTTTCGGAATATTACATTTACTACCTGATTTACTATCGTAGTAAATGTAATTTACTACATTGCAAAATTTCATTTATTTTATGATACATTTACTACAAATAATTTTTTTCTTGTTAATTATGGGACTAAGTATTTATTGCTTTAATCTTAAATTATATATATATATATTTATATATATTTAATGCATTATTACAAAAAATATATAAATATTAAAAGAAATAATAATAATAAATATAAATATTATAAAAAAATAACAGATTACAGAACCCAAAGCTGATTTCTTATTTGACACGTCAAACTCAAAAGCTCACAAAATAACACAAACCCAAGCTTTTCGTAGTAAAAAGTTGGGGGATAGTATTTTCTTTGTCATCTGACACAAAGATAATTATTATCTTTGATCTGACATTCTCATTTACAGTGACCAATCAAAAGACCAAGAACGTAATAAACTACATTTACCAAGTAGTAAATGTAGCTAACGCAATTTTTGCGTCAGTTTACCATGCCTTATTTTCATTTACATCTACGTACGTGACCACAAAGTCTACATACAGGAGCACAAAATTCCTATGTTTGACTATGTAGTATTTTTGTGACAAAATACGTCGGCACAGAACAATAAAAACTTCAGCGCGCACTGCATTGCGCACAAACCCGATCTAATTACGGCCAATCACAATCAATTATGAGAAACTTAACCACTGCAAACGTTTTTTGCCTCACCCCTCCATATCGGTTTGTTCTCCTGTCTCTAGACTTCGTGCACGTGGCCAACCAAAATACCAATCACGTAATTAACTACATTTACTACACAATAATTCACTACATACTATATTTACTACGTAGTCACTTTCCCATTCCTGCTCGAGACACAAAATATGAGCGAGCTCAAAATACAAAATACACTGTTGCGTATAAAAATAAATGTAACTCAAAAATTATTTTCTCTACGACTACTTAAGAATAGTAACATTCTAGTGTAATTTTTAATCATAGAAAGGATGTTTTTCTGCAATACTGTGCGAGAATATTCCTACTATTGTTTAAGAATGGTCACAAGTAACGACATCTCCTGGCTGTTTACTAAACGTAAAAAATTTAAAAAAATTTAGATATTACTGTATTATTTATTAATTAAAAAATAATAGCAGTTGTATAATTAAGGTTTAGTCACAAAAAATTAGTTATATTTATTGTTTTTCAAATATACAAATCAAAATTATAATAAATTTGATATTAAAATGATAAACCAGTTACCTACTATACCGGCTTTGAAGTTTTGACAGATTCAAAAAGTTTAAAAAAAGACCTTTAAAATGTAGAAAAAGAATAGATGTTGACATAGATTACTTGTACAATTAGTTTTGTATTTGTTACAATGTTATTTTTTTAATTGGTTAGTGTAAATAACTATTTTTAATTATAATAAAGATTTAGGCATACCATTTGTTTAAATTTATTATAATTTACATTATAAAATTGTGACGGCACAAAATGGTTTGACAATACAAAAAACTTAAATGTCAAAAACTGCTTGGTTTCTTTTCTCTGTTTAAAATTATATAAGCGTTACTATTCTTACGTAGTCGTAGAGAAAATAATGTCTGAAACACGTTTGGAATAGCATATTCCAAACTTGTTACAAAATGTACTATTTTCTACTCCTATTACGGAATATGACTGTTTAATGTGGAATGACATATATTCCTTAAAGTGTTACAGAATGATATATTCTATCGGATGACAGAATAAACACTGGTGGCGACATCTCTGTGTTTAATATCTAACAAATTTGGACCGATCCAACATCACTTTCTCCCAATTAAATTACTTTTCTATAGTATTTTTTGGAAACGTAGAAAAAGTATAGTCTGAAACACGTTTGGAATTGCGTATTCTGCTCTCATGAAACCGTCAAACTCGCCTTCGGCTCGTGTGACAAACTTTTCATTCGAGCGGATTATGCCGCATTTGCAAATTTGTTACAGAATATACTATTCTTCAAATCTATGCTGAGTCAAGCCACGTCAAGTGGGACCAGACAATTTCACGAAATCAGCGATTTTGAAAATAATCACATTATTGTGTAGTAGGCATTACGCATATGTCACAGTAAAAAATTTGTTTTGAAATTCGGTTTTTGTTAATGTTATTAAAGTTAATAATTTTGTAAAACTTAAGAGCACCGTAAAATTGAAAAAATAGAATCTCTGAGACCACTCTGTATAATTGAATTAAATTTTAAACACTATTGAAGCAATGTTTAGACTATAGAATGATGATTTAATTAAGGAAAATTTGTTTAAATAAAAGAGTTTTGCATACATTTTTAATAAACAATTGAAATTTTTTATGTGTTCTTCACGCTGAAAAAAAATAAATCTTGTGTCATAATATGCGGCAAACGTTTCTGTTTTATAATATGTACTCAAAAATTTGTCCTTCAAATGTCTTTCCGGAGATATTAAATTTTTTGTCCCGCCGCGGCGAGCGCTTGATCAGTACGCGGCGCGCTTCGCTGCTAGCTCGTCCGGAACGCTGTGCTCACGGTGTGCCTGAACAAAGTTTAAGTCACATAAAAATGCCGCCAAAAACTGATTGCAGTTTCTTGTTCGGGACCCTTTGGTGACTTAAAAATAATATTTACCAAAATCCTAGCTGCTCCTCTTTTAGAAATTTTTTGAAAATTCATGATTTTTGTTGAAATTTTTGTTTATCTCAAAGTCTACCTTTGACAAAGTACACATTTGTACACCGATTTTTATAAAATTGGAGTATATTATTGAGGGAACTTAGAGAATACTTTTTAATACTGTTCACATCATTTGATATATACAGGGTTAGCCAAAAACCACTTATTTTTAATAAAGCAAAAGCGTAAATTCATGGTTTTGTAGAGGTAGCGATATTATCGATAGTCTATCGATAGTTTCGATATTTTAAAAACTATCGAATTATCGATTCTATCGATAGTTACAAACTATCGTCTAGGGATAGTAGAAAAAAATTATTATAACTATCGTTGTTTTTTTATTCGGAATTTTACGTCATTAAAAATTTGGGGTTTTAGTTGGCAAAATCTAGGGCTCCTAGATTTACCAACGGTAAACTGTCTCAAATATGTGCTGTCAATTATTTTATTGTTGATGTTCTAAAACTCGATAGTTATTATAGATTTTGATAAGGGTTTAATAACTAAGGTAGATATTTATATTGAACTACTATACCGTGGAGGCCGAACTTAATAGGGGAAATTGACAAAACCTGCCCTCTAAATTGCACAAATTAAGTCTTTTCGCCACCAGCGGCGCTGATTGTCGATGTGTACTGACGTCTGCTCTTTTGGTAGCGTAGCGTTTCGGTACAAATTAGTCAATTGTTTCAGAATAAACGGAACACCAGCGCCCTCGTATCTTAGGAAGATTCTTGTTTACATAAAGTTCGGACTGTGCTATACTATATTTTTGACTCTCCTGTATTTGGTAGGTTGAAAAAGTGCCTACTAGGTATAAAAATAAACCCCTTATTTTTTTAATAAAATGTTAAACTATACGGTTTTGAAATTTTAGTAAACAATCGATAGTATCGATAGTCGATTTTCTCACCATCGATAGTCTACTTTTTACCACTATCGCTACCTCTATGGTTTTGGCATAACACGCAAAAAAGATTTATCCCCAATTTTTTTTAGATATTTCTACGTTTATCAGGTTACAAAACTTTTTACAAGAAAAATAGATTTTTAATAAAATTAAATAAAATAACGTTTAGATAATATTTAAAATGTTGTTTAATTTAGGCTTTTTGATAATTTTCAATTTTGAAAAAAAAACTGGTTGAAGTTTTTTGATCGGCAATCTTTGGTGATTTAAAAACTTAATTTAACAAAATTCTAACTCCTTTTTTTTTAAATTTGTAGAGTACACATTTGTACACCGATTTTTATTGGAGTATATTGTTAACGAGACCAAAAATCACGTTTTTATATAGTAAAAAGCATAATACACAAAAAAGATTTATCTTCAAAAATTTCAAAAAAAAATAATGAATTTTCAAAAAATTTCGAAATGAGTTGCAGCTAGGATTTTGGTAAATATCATTCACCAAAGGGTCCCAAACAAGAAACTGCAGTCAGTTTTAGCGGCATTTTTATGTGACTTAAACCTCGCTCAGGCACACCGCATGCTGACGAGCTAGAAGCGAAGCGCGCTGCGTACTGATCAAGCGCACAGCGGGACAAAAAAATTATCTCCGGAATGACATATGAAGGACAAATTTTTGAGTATATTTTATTAAACGGGAACGTTTGCGGCATATTATGACACAAGTTTAATTTTTTTTCAGCGTGAAGAACACATACACAATTTCAATTGTTTATAATAAATGAATGCAAAATTGTTTTATTTAAACAAATTTACTATAATTAAATGATCATTCTATAGTCTAAACATTGCTACAATAGTGTGTAAAATTTAATTCAATTATACAGAGTGGTCCCAGAGATTCTATTTTTTCAATTTTACCGTGCTCTAAAGTTTGACAAAATTGTTAACATTACCAAAAAAACGAATTTTAAAATATTTTTTTTAATGTGACATATGAGTCATGCCTACTACACAATAATGTGATTATTTTCAAAATCGGTGATTTCGTGAAATTTTCTGGTCCCACTTGACGTGGCTTAACTCTGCTGTAAAAAAATCTGAAATTGTTTGTCTCACAAAATCATATATTAAATTTTGAAGACATTATATGGAAACTCTTCAAATGGAGATACTACCTTAATAAAGAACTTCAAAAACATATTTTAGAATGTTAAAACTGCCATTCAAGAGTCAAAATTACTTGTAAAAATACAATTTAAACCATCTTATACAATCATACTAAAGAAATGTATCAATCACCTTTAAGAATGTCAAAAACAATATTGTCGAAATGTTGTAACATGTTTTAGAATCAAAATAACTTAAGAATGGTACTCAAGAAATGCCCAACCATTTTTAAAAATGTAAACATACAATTTTCGGAATGTTAAAAATCTTTAACTTAAAACAAAATTTTAGAATGTAATAATTACTCAATAATTTTAAGAGCTATAAGTAAAATAGTGTCAAAAACACATTTAAGAATGTTAAAAGATAAAACCATACCAAGAAGACTAAATAAAGGACGACAGACACTGAGTGTGCACATAGGTTACTAATACAGTACGTACGTTTTTTTTCGTGCCCCCACCTAGCAAGTAACTTCTCCAGCATTTTTAAACCATACTTAAGTTTTAAGATTCAAAATGTCAAAAATACGAAATTTTAAAACCATACTTAAAAATCATTATTAATCTTGTGTGGCGAATTTTATTGAATAAACAATGATATATCGTAATATTTTTTCTTTTTTCTGTGATATTATATTATAATAATATGTTCCTATTTAGAATTAAAAATGTATTAATAAAATAAAATTAATTTAGATTTAAAAAATGTATTAAGAATTAAAAAATATATATTAAATTGTATGATTAGAGGTGTCCCTCTATAAACTGTATCATACAGTCTGTATGTTTCTTGGGATGAAAATAAAGTATTTTATTTATTTATTTATAAGATATGCATAAACCATTAAACATTTATGAGATATTTACCGGTTTAGTTTTTAGTTGTGCTTCTGTACTCAAATAAAATTTACAAAATCACGAACTTTACTTAATTGATTTATTCAATTGGAGAAACTGAAGTAGGTACTTACCGGTATTTTGCTGGTACGAAGAAACTCCAAGAGGGCCTCCAAGGAGCCGAGGGTGGAAGCTTGAACGTAGACGCCCCTGTCGACGAGTTTTATGTTGGAAAGAGCAGAGCGCAGCTCTTTAGACACCTCCTCCTTAATCAAGTCGATTTCGTCGGGTTTGTTGGCCACGAACAAGTTCAAACCGGCGATCGCTTTTTCCAGCTCCTTGGCGGCGATTTTTACGCCCTGCGCCGCCTTTATTTCCCTGTATTCTACATAAGCATTCTGAAACATACATTTTATACTTTACTTTTTTAAAACCTACAATTATTTCATCATCTTAAAGGATTGTTTGAAAATGTATTAAAACTCTCTTTAAATATCCAAAAACTGTTTTAGATCTTTCTAAAATGTCATAACTGAACTAAAATGGACAAATAGTAAAATAAAATTTGAAATTTACATAAAAAAATATTTATTTTAATTTACCTTGACTCTAAGTTCTTTCATAGGTTGAGGCATGAGCAAGGAACGAATCTGGGTGACGATGGGACCGTCTGAGCCGGCGCAAAGCATCGTATCACCTTCCCTTAAAGTACCATTTACTAAAATCACGTCGATTGTGGTACCCAGACCGGGAATTGCCTTTACTTCCAGCACGGTGGCTTGCAACTCGTCAGAATACATCAATCTGAAATGTACATTTAAAAACATTATATATACCTATGTACTTACTTTTAAGTCATTTTCTATGCAATCGTCGAATCGACAAAGCCAGCCGATTTTAGATATTGCTTAATCTATTAGTGAGAATATTCTTTGGGACCCCGAAGGAAATCCGTACTTAATTAATTTTTACGTTTTTTGCTAGATAGAGATATCTACTCGTTTGCATTTCAAATCTAAAAGTTAGTAAATTTTATATTCCTGAAAAATAACTAAAAAATATGTTCATATTCAAGTAACCTTAAAATTTTTAAAATTTCAAGCTAAGATTTTTTTATAAACAGCGTGGTGAATGGGAGACATTAGCTGTTTTACCTGTATATGTATTTATAAGTTTTAGTAAATAGTTTTGATTATAAATTATTAGGAGCTCCCTTTGTAAATAATAATAATAATCTACTATTATTAACCCAAAAAACTATTTCCAATTTACAAAGAGACCTCTTAATATTTTATAATCAAAACTATAATAATAATTATTATAGATCAGGCGGAGAAAGCACATATTATTGCCGAGCATACATTTCACTGCCAAAGCGATAGCCGAGGCAGTAGATTGTGTGCGAAGTAATAATAAGCTTTCGCCGCTGGGTTTTATATAGTATTTTTTTCAAGCATTTAATTATAGTTATTTATGTCATAAGGTAAATAAAGTAAAACTTTTTGTGCTGAGCTTAAAGTTGAGTGAAGCACAAAAAGACACATCTCAGCCAAATGGCATTTTATGTTCAAGGCACAGTTTTTTTTGTTAAACAATACATAAAGCGAACCTCATTGGTTTAAATAACTAAGTATTATTATTTTTATTATAGAAACCACACGGAGAAATTTTTTGTATTGATTACAAAGCTTACTTAGGAAAGTTTCCAAGCGAGCCGATAGGCGAGTGAAGGAATTCATTCAGGGAGTAATTGGGATTGCGACTGAATCTTTACTGCCTGCATAGCAATCTTAGCAGTTTGTTACACTTTTTCGTTTACGAAGTTACCATCGCGGTGCGGACTCGACCAGTGCGGTATTTTTTTCTCTATGTACTTAAACAGTTTTAAAACTTCATATCAGACAGTGCACTTGTTTATAGATATCTCTAATATAAATATATAGTTATACAGCTAAAAACGTAAAGCATAAAAATGAATTTTTATATGGTTTATTTCATGCACCCCGGTAATGACCCGAGAAAAAGTTAAGGTAGTATCCCCAATGGGGACTTTTTCTCGGGTCATTACCGGGGTTCCCCATTTAAAAAGTTTAATAAATAAATAACAGTAGGCCGTGACAGCGGTGCCAATGTAGTAAAAATAAAACGTATTTTAATTAACAAATTAATACTTTATTACAAATTAAAGTGTCATTAAAAACTAAAAAGAATATAAAAAGTAACAATATAAATTGTTATAAGGGCAAAATGAAGGTTTAAAACGGTAATATTATTGTGTTTCTTAAAAAATTGTTTTTTGAGATTCCCATAAAAAATATACTGTAATAATCAATTTCTAAGCTATCAACATGATCTCTTTGGTCGCTCGAGTATAAAAACGAATGTTTGAAAGAATCTATGGAAAATAACACCTGTGCAGAAGTGTTGTTTTTAACAGATTTCCCATAGATTATTTAAAAAATTTGTATCCAAACTCGAGAAACAAAATAGGATGTTGATGGCTTGATAATTGATTATTATAGTATATTTTGTATGTAAATCTCAAAAAACAATTTTTTAGCACTTTTTAAAATTGACCGCTGTCACGGACTAGTTATTTATTTATCAAACTCTTTAAATGGAGATACTACCTTAAAAAACTCGAAGTTGAAAGGTTTTCCGGTGGAGGGTGTCATAAAATAAAATAAAAATGTTGAGTCAAAAAATGATGACTAAATTATTCTAAAAAATAACACAATCGTTATTTTGACCTGTATATTTTAATCAAATAAAAGCAATATTTTCAAATATAATATACAGGGTGTTTCTTTTAACTTGAGACAGCTCAATATCTCGAGAAATATGCATTTCACGGAAAAATGTCTTAAATAAAAGGTTAATGTGACCAAAGGGGACATTATTTGGTGCTACCGCTAGCCACCCCCTACCCCTACTTAAGGGTGAAACGGGGGGTAACTTTGGAAAGTCAAAAGGGATGACCCGATTTTTTTACAGATTTTGGTAGTACATAAAAAAATGAATAACTTTTATTTGAAAGTTTTTTTCAATTTATCAACAGATGGCGCTGTAATTCAAAATTTAAGAAAAAGGGGTTTCCTTGTAAATTGTATTATTTGAAACGTTTGAAAAACAAAAATTAACATTAAATCAACAATAGTCGGCTCTGAAAACAATTTATAACAAATGTTCGAAATGTCGTCCTTCCATTTCGACACCAAGTGGAGCACCAGCGTCCCTGGTCGGTAAACGTTTGGTGCGGTACCTTAAGCGAACGATTAATCGGACCCTTCCTTATTGACGGTGCATTAAATGGCGAAAAGTACCGGAATTTTCTAGAAAACGATCTGACGGACCTTTTGGAGGATGTACCACCAGCACGGCTCCAAAACATGTGGTACCAGCAAGATGGTTGTCCTGCACATTATTCGGCAATTGCTCGAGAGGTGTTGGATCGGGAGTTCAATGGCCGGTGCACCGCGGTGGATCGGTAGACGTGGTCCAGTAATTTGGACTGCTCGATCACCTGATCTTACGCCACCAGACTTCTTCCAGTGGGGTTACTTGAAAGAAAAAGTTTACGCTGCAATTCCTACAACTTGGGAGGACATGTTGGAGCGGATCAGGAACGCCTGTGCGGCGATACCGCCCGACATGTTGGCGCGTTGTGTGCCAGAATTCATTACCCGCAAATGTGTTGAAATGGAATGACGAATTTTAAACATTTGTTATAAATTGTTTTCATAGCCGACTATTGTTGTTAATGTTAATTTTTGTTTTTCAAACGTTTCAAATAATACATTTTACAAGGAAACTCATTTTTCTTAAATTTTGAATTACAGCGCCATCTGTTGATACATTGAAAAAAGTTTTAAATAAAAGTTATTTATTTTTTTATGTACTACCAAACTCTGTGAAAAAAATCTGGTCATTCCATTTGACTTTCCAAAGTTACCCCCCGTTTCACCCTTAAGGAGGGGTAGGGGGTGGCTAGCGGTAGCACCAAATAATGTCCCCTTTAGTCACATTAACCTTTTATTTAAGACATTTTTCCGTGAAATGCGTATTTCTCGAGATGTTGAGCTGTCTCAAGTTAAAAGAAACACCCTGTATATTCAAAGTCATGTTTTTGCCTTTTTTAAAGAGTGATGAGTATTTTAAACCCTGCTCAAGAAAATTCAAAGTTGGAATTTCTCACAAGTTAAAGCAAAACCTAAAATAATTAAAAAAAAAATTCGAGTGGTTAATAATGCGCCGATTGTATTCGCAATTGTTAATAATTAATGACATTCATTTGTCCCTCTGTGAACAATATTATTCCTTCCCCTGTGTATATTTTCATTCCCTCCCGCTAATCAGGTAAGAGAAATGTTCCATTCCCTCCCGCTACCATGACGGCGCTACAGTGTGATTGACTTTGACTTTAAACGTCAGATTTATATATATTTGACAGATTGTGTACCCGGAAAAAAACTTGTCAAGTTTTTTTGTGGGTACCTAAAGTTCTTTTTTTTATCTGGACTGTGGTAACGTTGCAAATTTAGGGTTTTGGTTGGTAAACACGGAACCAAAATTGGTTGCATTGATTAAAACAAACTAAGGGTGTGTTCCGTAAATACACACGAGTTACCGGTCTGGTTACTGAAATAAATTCCTGGTTTTCTTGGTTAGTTCATATTTACGGGACACCTTTATTTGAAAAAACATAACCCAACTTTTATTTGTGTCAAAAACTACAACTTGCATATATTTTTAATAATATTTCTATAGTTACATAAACAAACCTAAAACACCCTATATACTGAATTCAATTATTTTTGGACAAAACGTATTTTGTATGCAAAGTCCGCTCCTGTGTTAAATTTTTAGGTTAGATAACCAACAAAAAACAGTAATTTTGTTTAGGGCAACACTGTTTCCATTTGGTTTGCAGCATTGGTAACCGATTTAACCGATCATACAGCGTCATTCGGGTTTCGTTCTTCGAAGAGTGCACTTGGTTCATGACCTGTGACCCTGGAGGGACGAAATTGGAATCCCAGCACAAAAATACGCTGGTCAGTGTCATAAATACAAAATCTACAATAGATTTGTTAATGTACGAACAATTTCCACGATGGATGACTAAAATATTTAAAGAAAAGTCTGTGCATGTGCCATGTGGTTCATGGTTGGAATTGAAAAAAATAATGGAGTTTTGAAGTGTATTGTTATGTTAAATGTATGGATCATGAATGTAACGTAATGTGTTTAGAAGGATGGTGAATAAATCTAATTTTGTGAATAAAGAAGTGAAAAAAGAAACTAAAAGTGACAAAAATAATAATAAATAAAATATAAAACCAAGAAGAAAAGGAGTAAGCTATAGGTTAGCCTAGACTCGCTTGCTCCAGCCTATAATATTGAATAAAATACAGCTGGCTAATTCCCGGAAGGGAAAGGCCAATCAAACCGAAGAAGAAGAAGAAGAGATCATACAGCGTCGGTCGTTTCGGTAACGATTGGTTAACCTATTTTTCAGGAACCGCGTTTCTTAACTACATAATTTTCAAGAATTTTTCATTTACGGGACACCTTAACCGAAACCAAACCAACCAAGTTGACTTACGGAACATACCCTAAACTATAGTTATAAATGTAATTATAATGTAATTTTGGTTATGTTTAAATTATAGTAGGTTACATTAAACTGTTGTCAAGTTGAGTTGTCGAAATTCGTTGTTAAAAATGCAATTAATTTGGCTTTAGTGGTGCATAGATGAGTAAAATTATATAAAAAAGTAGTTAAATATAGGTATAAGTATTCCTAGCGGATAATAATCTTCGCTTTAAAAAAAATTTATATAAAAGAAATTAAAATTTTATGTGAACACACGTGAATGTTGTCCAATCATTGGACTCCAATGGTGAATGGGTATTTAATGTGTGACTTAATATTTGTAAAACCAAAAACGTTACTTTTTTACTCCAAAAATGTCCATAAGGCTGTACTTTTTCTGCCATTGAGGCATTTGGCATGACTTCATTGAAATGAAGTTTTGCCCTTAAAAGTTCTTTTACTTTAGAATCTGATATTATTTTTGGCATAGTTTTATACAAGTAAATTATCAATATTAAATATTACTGTCAATTTGACATTGTCAGAGTATTCCATTGAAGTAACATTTTTTAAATACTAAATCAAACTGGCATAAGCTACCAACTCACCATGATGCCCGAGGCGAAGCCGAGGGCATCATGGCGCGCAATTCAGGGCTCTCACACTTTCTGCCCGTGTAGTGTATACTATTTTTCTTACTACCTCGGCCGAAAATACAACCCGGCCGAAAATACGGGAAAAAATTAAATGTGTATTTATGTACCTATCTCCATTTGAAGAGCTTGATAAATAAATAACAGTAGGCCGTGAATTCAGCGGTGCCAATACAGTAAAAATAAAACGTTGTATTTTAATTAACAAATTACTACTTTATAACAAATAAAAGTACCATTAAACACTTAAAACAACATAAAAAGTAAAAACATAAATTGTTTATTTGTTGTTATAATTGCAAAATTATTTTTTAAAACTGTAATATTTTTGTGTTTCTCATGTTGGCAGTACGAAATTTGAATGTTAAGCACACGACTAAAAAATTTTTACTCCCGCTATTAGAGTGTGCGCGTATAGCTTGACCAATGCATAAAACGTAAACTTTCTGCCGTGGAATCGGGGACGAAACAACGTATTTTGAGTCGAGGTAGTAAGAAAAAGCATTTATAGAGTTTAGCTTAAATAACTTCAAGTAGGTAAGCATACTAACTTAGTTGGACGTCTTTAGGAATGTAAACGTTAATTTTTAATGGGGTAGTTAAATTTTTTCTGACCTATACTTTTTATGGTTTTATTCAAGGCGTTTTGTAATATTAAACATTTCTGTGAAAACAGAATTTCAATTGAGTTTACCGTTTTCGAGATATTTACAAAAAATATACATTTTTATGACGTCACAAACCTCGCCATGTGACCAACATTCTAAGATTTCTATTGGTTGAAAATTACCCTGTTGTCAAGTTGTCTTGTTAATGATTTCATTCGGTTATGTCAGAAAATACCCGATGAGGTTATGTACAAATACTGTCACTGTCAGTTGAGTGAAAGAAGAAGAAGAGGAGGTTAAAGAAAATTCTGAAATTAAGTTTTATTGATAGGTTTACACATTGAAACACCGTGTGAAACCTAATAAAATGTAATAAATAGGTACCTAATAACTGTCTAAAGCAGAGTTTAATATATTTCATAGAAAAAAGTGGCAAAATAAAGCTGAAAATGAATGAAATAAATTTACAAAAAATAACAGTAAATGTAAGTTAACAATGGTATTTATGATATTTGTGTATAGTTTTTATAAAACTTGCATCCCTGATGATGAGCATCAAAACCTTACAACCAGTACAATAAATATATCTTCTGTGTAGAGAAACAGATGGTCACCAAATTCATTAAGTACCTATCTTCCTTATAATAAGGACCTTATTACGAGGTATCATATTACTGTTTGAGTCCAAGATATATCTAAAAGAATATAAAGAACTAGGCATTATACTAATGAAATGCATTTACGACAAAATATGATTATAATTATAGGTAGGTACTTACTTTATTTGTTTAAAAGCTCCAATGTTCAATGTAACCAACCATTCCACAAGATTCCTCTGCTTTGGAGTCCGTTATTAATAAATCACTTATCTAATATCAATTACAAATAACATAACAATAACATTGATTTTCAATAATCTAAATTAAAAAAAAAACATAACCCGAAAAAAAGAAACGTCAAAAAAATCAATTCTTCTTCAAGTAGTTTTAAAACTAAAATATTATAAGGTGGCGCCATCTATCGTAAGAATCTTAAACTAAACACCATAGAAAAAGCTGGCAACGTTGTCAATAGCCTAGTGACGTAATTAGGAGACTTTTTTTTGTAAATATCTCGAAAACGGTAAACTCAATTGAAATTCCGATTTCACAAAGATGTTTAAAAATACAAAACGCCTTGAATAAAAGCATAAAAAGTATAGGTCAGAAAAAATTTAACTACCCCATTAAACGTTACTTTTTTTAATTTTCTAAAATTTAATTAATAATTAGCACCACTAGACAAAAAGTATAGTGTTTAGTAACTTGCAAATAGAAAAAATTGCCAACACGCGTCTAAAACAAATGTTATAACATACCTTTTCGGCAGTTTAGTTTGGCAGAACTCGACGATGAGCGCTAGCAGGTTGCCCATTCCTTCGCCCGTGATGGCGCTAGTGGGCACCAAGGAGACGTACGAGCGCATGTCCGGGTTCTCGTAGAACAAGGCAGCGTTGAAACCCTGCTCGGCGAACTGCACGATCACCTCCTTGGTCCGCTGCTCGAACTCCAGTTGCGTGTTGGCCGCTTGGCCTTTGAGGATGTCGCGCACGTCTTTCCTGGCCATCGTTTGCCAGTCGTACAGACGATCGATTTTGTTGAGGGCCACGATGAAGGGTGTTTTTTTCGATTTTAAAATGTTGATCGACTCGATGGTTTGCGGTTCCAAGCCGTGCATGATGTCGACGACCAGAATGGCGATGTCGCAGAGGGAGGAACCGCGATTTCTCAAGTTGCTGAAGGACTCGTGACCGGGGGTGTCGATGATCAACAGACCAGGGACGCGCAGTTCCATTTCGTTTGCCTAAAATGAATGTTAAATACATAGATCATTTCGTTTTTCACAATAAATAAAATTACATTTTTAAGAGCACTTTTACATGTACACTAGGGTAATGTGTTTTGAGAGAACGTTTATTTTATTTATTACGTGACTTTTACAGTGTGACATATTTGTTTGCGATCCTTGTAATACAATAAATAAAGATTGTACAAGGCTTGTACAATCTTTATTTATTGTGCGATTTGAACCGGATTTCTTTTAAAGTGTAGATCTTCATAAACTGTATTTTTGGAGCAAAAAAAACATATTTTTACAAAATACAAGGCCTACTATGTCAGTTTTTGAGAGTAAAAAATTTTATTAGCGATTAAAAAAAATCTATGCAAATTTTTAAGTAGGAACGATTTTGTAGCCCAATTAAAATGGCACTATAGTTACTATTTTCAAAAATTTATTCTGTCAAGTTATCCATGAAAAAAACATTAAAATAAAATTAAACTAATAGTAACATGCTTAGTTTTGAGATAAAAAACGATTGCGTTATATTGATAAAATTAAATCAATGAAACAAAAAATAGAGAATTCAAAAAATTCTTTACAATAACATTTTCGTCACCTCTACTTACTCACCATTTATTTCAATACACTTAATACCTAATTTTTTTAGGTAAGTTATTTGTTACCTTTCGTATTTGTTCTGTAATGGCTAGCTAGCCCATAGTTCCTGTGAAGTTTGTGGCCTTGATTTGTAAACCTTTTGTTTCAGTAAACCCTTCAGCATATTTATACCATGTTACTATTAGTTTAATTTCATTTCAATGTTCTTTTCAAGGATAACTTGATACAATAAACTTTTAAAAATAGTAATTATTGTGCATTTTTAATTTGGATACCAAAGAAAATTATTTGTGTCAAAGTCACGTGGTAGGACTATAGTCTTTCCTATGTTTTTTGTACAGTAAAAATTATAATAGAGTAATTGCATCAAAAATGAAAATCCCTAAAAATCTTTTTATTGTAATCTAGAGGTAAAAACACATTGCGAAAGTATTTTTTTATATTCCAAAAGTTCAACCCGGCCCCAAAATATCAAATTGAAAAAAAGGTACTTTTCAAACGTTTCTGAACTCCCGCCATATTGCATGTCGTCATAAGCCACAGCTGTCAGAAATCAAGATGTCAACAAATAATAAACACCGATAAAGTTTATGTTTAACATGGAAAACGCGAAACCAAAAATTGGTTGTAAATATTGTTTTGTGCCTTGTTGTACAAATACAACCTGGAAAACTCCTGGGAAAGTTGTCCCTTCAATTATCAAAAGCAAAGTTTATGACCCTACACTGAGAGTAGTTACGGCTCAGCCGTATTTTCTTGAGTTTATTAATATTTAATATACCTATTCAAACCATATAGGTACCTAGTAAACGACATTTTATTTTACTTACATTAAAATGATCCTTAAAATGAGCAATAAAATGTTGACTGCGGTGACGATGTTTTGATATCGCGCCGAGCTATTTTAATCCACTTTACCCTTATTTTCCCTTTTGGCACGGTGATAAACCTTTTCCCAGGAGTTTTCCAGGTTGTATTTGTACAACAAGGCACAAAACAATATTTACAACCAATTTTTGGTTTCGCGTTTTCCATGTTAAACATAAACTTTATCGGTGTTTATTATTTGTTGACATCTTGATTTCTGACAGCTGTGGCTTATGACGTCATGCAATATGGCGGGAGTTCGGAAACGTTTGAAAAGTACCTTTTTTTCAATTTGATATTTTGGGGCCGGGTTGAACTTTTGGAATATAAAAAAATACTTTCGCAATGTGTTTTTACCTCTAGATTACAATAAAAAGGTTTTTAGGGATTTTCATTTTTGATGCAATTACTCTATTATTTCTAAATCGACATTGATAGTTCAAAGTTTACATTAGTGCTCACACCAAGCGCTTGCATCGACATTATTTCTAACTCCGCCCCTTTGCACACAGCCTATACAAATAATTAAGTTTTTTGTCATTGTCAAGCTTATTTTGTCTTATTTTCCAAAAATAATACAATACAGTATACGTATTTTTTGCGTTCTTAATTGAGAACTTTATTTACAAAAATACGAGTATACATATATTGCATTATTTTAAAAAAATAAGACGAAATTTGCTTGACACTGAAAAAAATTAACCTTAATTATTTATCTCAGTCACATGGTGGGACTTTTGATTGTGGAACATACATATCGAGAAAAATAAGTACTTTTATTTTGATTTTTTTTCATTTAAACAATTGGGATAAAGTACTTTAAACAACTTTAATACAACCCATATATTTTGACCTGTATATGTCACCAGTCCTATTTTTAATAAAAAACAGTATTTTTTTACATTTTACGGCAAAACGATTAAAGTTATAGGTAAAAAGTAAAAAAGATTTTAATAGAAAATTTAATTTTTTATAAAAAAAAGTTTATATGCATTAATCCAGTAATATGCATAATGTAATAGATAAAGAGAGTCTAATAAATTTTACTGTAAAATATTAATAAACATTTTTTTTTACTTTTTACCTTACCTTACTTTAATTGTTTTCGGTAAAACAACATAGGAGTGATCAGTTTATCAATATTTAACAGTATAATAAATTAAATGCTCTATATCTTTTAAACCATGCATTTTATTGCATTGATTTTTTTTTACTTTTTACCTGCAACTAACCTAAAATGCTAAAATACTGTTTTTTATAAAAAAATATGACTTCTGTTATGTGTACAGGTGTAAATATATTAATTGTAGTAAAATGGTTGCAAGTACTTTAAAAGAGCATCTAATCATGTACAAATAATATAATAATTGTAGTAACGTAAAATGTCGCCAAGCTAAAGGAAATTTTAAAAAAAATATTCACTTTCTGTTATTTCAATGGAAAAACTTTAAAATCAAAATAAATGTACTTAGGTGTAAAATTAAGGACTGAAACTTTAAGAGAATTTTATTCTCGATTTATACATAAATATTTTGATTATGAAGTGAAAAAAATAAATGTTCCTTTAAATTTTAAATTAAATTTACAAAGAAAATAATAATACACTTTACCAGTTGAGCTCTACTTAAACTGTTTTAAATCATCAACTGACCAACAGAGTTGCGAGATTTGTACTTAAAAAGTATTCCATTAGAATATTTAAGTTACTTGAGAATGGAGAAAATAAAAATTATCAATACATTGTATTTTTTACTCTAAATTGATTTAAAGTAAAAATACAAAAATAATTGTACTTATTAATTTGAATAAATAATATTTTTTAGTACTTTGTAATGCAAAAAGTTTAATGTCAAAGTAAAAAATTGATTGTACTTAAAATATAAATGAAAATACAAGTACCTACCAAGAATACATCGTCCTTCAAGTCATTGTATATTGTAAATAATTTTAATCAGAATCTAAAACTATCTTTATGCATATATTTAATATAATTGATAAACCTTTTTACAAATATTCTAATTATTGACATGTAAGTATTTAATATTTGTTATCAACCATTGTATTGTTACTTTAAACTATTAATTTTATCATTATCATGTTAACATAACCTTAAAATAATTTTACATATTTTTGTAGTTTGCCTGAAGATGATCTAATATAGATCGAAACTAAACGCAATAAAAACATAAACAAGCACGGAAGTATCCTTATTCACCATTCTAATCAAATCAAAAAAATATAATGTATTCTGTTCTTTATTATTTTTTAATTATAAATAAAAAAATATTTAGAATCAGTAAACATTTTAAGTTAAAATAAAAAGTACTTGATATTTTCTCTGATTATAATTACAAAATAAAAAAAAAATTGTAATTATAAAATTGGTAAGGTAAAAATAAAAATTACTCAATATTTTTCTCTCATTACAATTATAAAATCAAGTAATAATTAGTAATGATAGCATAATCCATTAAAAAAAATACTCAGTACTCCCAACTCTGCTGACCAAATAGGTACCATCTTAAAACTGTCTAAACTTTTTGGTTTGTATTTTTAGTTTATATTATTAATTGAAACAAATAATGTTTAATTTTAAAAATAACAACGCAATAAATGAGAACATAAACGCAAAATAATGTCGCATTATTTATTTGCCTTACCCCCTTGACAATTTTGATTTGTTCCTTGATGGCATCAATGGGTACATTTGTGGCACCAATTTGCTGCGTAATACCGCCGGCTTCTCCATCTTGCACGTTTGTCCTCCTCAATTTGTCCAAAATCTTCGTTTTTCCCGTATCCACGTGACCCAAAACGCAAACGATCGCCGCACGTAGATTGTCGACGGTGCGTTTCTTCTCCGCCTCCTCCTTTCGTTTCTTAATCCTCTCGATAGCACGATCGCGCGCCTTTTCCGCCTGCGTTCGCCCGTCCTCGTCCTCGTCCGATTCACTTTCGTCATCCGACTCTTCTTCGTCGTCGTCCTCAGATTCTTCTTCATCTTCCCCTGAACTGCTTTCTTCCTCTTCCTCGCCTTTCTTCTTCGCTGCTTCCTTCACACCACCTACAATTTCATCATTTTATATTGTTATTTTTACTATTTTTTGTAATTATTCACCTGAAGTTTCTTCCGATTCTTCTTCTTCCTCCTCTGACGACGAAGCGTCCCAGGCGTCCTTGATATCTTCCTTTTCCGCTTCCGCAACACTTTCAGTCTTTTCAACCGCTGCTTCTTCTGCCGGTTTTGCTTCTTCCGCAGCTGGTTTTTCTTCCACTTCTCTGCTTACTATAATATATATATACAAATTATGCATAGAAAAAAATAATGAATGTAATTTAGCTGGATAAATAAATATATTTTAGGCGATATTTTGTTATTTTTTAGTAAATTGTTGTCAATTTATACTCAGTTTTTCCATTGTTTTAAAACTGTTATGTATATTAAAATATTACGTAAGTACTGAAAAAATCGAGTATATATATTTTGAAAATTTTAAAATGTCATCAAAATAAAGAACGTACTTGTCATAAAATTAATAAAAATCATAAATGTTGCAAGTTTTAAAATTTTCAAATTTGTAGGATTTTGATATAATTTTGTGGGTATACTCTATACCAATAACGTTACACTATATTATTATTAATAATAGTGTTCTTGATTGTGACTTTTAAAATGTTACCAAATTATTGGTCTGATTTTCGTGAAATTTTTTTGGTTTACTGTTAAAATATCAAATTTTTAAATATCATCAAAGGAACTATTTTAGTATACCTTGAACATTTCACTAAAATAAATAAAAATTAAATTGTAAGTATATGTAATGTAAGTTGTAAGTATATGTAATGTAAGTAACCTAAACTTCTTCAAAATGTGTCAGGTTTTGCTCGTAATACTATTTGTAAATAGTTTTTTATAAATTATTAACAGCTCCGTCTGTAAACTTAAACTAGTTTCTTGGGTAAATAAATTTATTTCAACCACTATTTCATATTACTGACATTATTTATATTTTTCCCCAAGCCTAAGTATAATTTTAATAATAACCGATATAGTATTACGCCTAAATGTGAAATATTTTTAAAAATTTGTAATTTTTGAAAATCAATTGAATGTATCAAACTCAAAATTTGTAAAGTTTTTAAGGACGATTAATAAAAAAATGTGATCATTTTTTATGGTACCCTCAGGTAATTGACCTGTGTCATTAGCGCCCTCTAGGTGTACATAGGTGTATTTGTGTTAATCGACCTATTTTTATTTTCTATTTTTACAGAACTGCAACTTTGCTATATTATCTAGTAGTTATGGGACACCCTGTATAATGGTAAACATTATAAACGCTTCGCCTAACAACGAGAATAATGAACTCATTATTCACGTTGTTAGGCATCAGTGATTGGCTGATTTCAATATTCACTGTGAGTTTTAAAAAGTAAGGTTGATTTTTTCCCATATCCCATATGAAAGACACTTTACCTACACAAAAAATAGTTTTTTTAATATTGATTTTTCAAAATTCAAATTATGTTAAAAATTAATCTTTTATCAAAAGACCAGACCAAAAATGAAAATTCAATTCAATTCTTTTTTGATTTTACAAGATTCGTTTTTCCTATCTGTATACTAGAGGGAACTATAATCAAAGATATTATCTTTGACTATAATGATCATTAAAATCTGAAGAAAGTGAGTTATAATAAATTTACTTAATAATAATGCCATATATATAGGGTTGCCATATTTTATTTCAAAAAATAACGGACTTACCCCCTTCCCCCGACAAAAAAACTTTTTTTTTAAATATTTATTTCCTAAATAAAGATAGAGAGTCAGCTTAAAAAACATTCATAAATATTCTAAAAATAAACTAATAAAAATAAAATAATGAAAAAAAAACTTTTATATTTATTTGGAAGACATAGAGGTACTTGCTTCTAACTTATCTTTTGACCATTCATATTTTTCTGATGATAACACTTTCTTTAAGATTTGTTTATTATTTTTAACTTTATTATAATATGACAAACAATCAATTTCTGTATTTACTTTTATTTGAATGAGTGATTTCACTGTGGAGACATCAAGCCTACCCCTCTCTGGCGTCCAAATATTTTTCATAATGGAAAAAATACGTTCAACGGTAGCTAGCCGAGGTTCCAGGCAAACAGAATATAAACTCTACAATTTTTTTTATATTCATTAAACTACCATCTTCGGATGCAGAGAATATGGATTTCCTTTTTTCTACGGGAGTATTTAATTCATCCAAAGCCTTTTTGCTTTTATCCAAAATATCATTAATTTGAGATACTTCATCAAACAAATCATCAAAGTTAATAACATTACTAGATAACTGTTTATTAATTATTTCCGCAGAATTGTGAATTAAAGCCCATTCTAGTTTTTCTTTTAATAAAACCCAATTAAAATTTTTAATTTCTTCAAAATTGTTTTCCCACAAATTCAAGTATTTCAAGCAATTCAATTAAAACTAAAATCATGCTGGGTAGTATGATAGGCAAAAGCCGCTTCCTTTGAGGCACAAATTAAATCTTGTTCTGTAGGTTGTACGTTTTTAAAAAACGAAGTAACAACTTTACTTATATTTGAGGCATTCGAAATATTCTTATGTTTCTTAGTGTTTGTATGTTGTATTATATCGCGTCGGCCTCCTTGTGAAATTGAAAATTCTGCATTACACTTTGTACACCTTGCCATATGTTCTAATTTTCCTTTTTTTATGAAGGAAAATTCATTTTCATACTCTGCAGAAAAATGACATTTTCGCTTTCCCATTATTTACTTCTAGAAAATGATTTAAAGATAAAGATAAAGATAAAGATAAATTTATTCAGCAAAAATTACAAAATTAATAAACAATATAACAAATAAATTTTATTGAGTGCACCTGATTTCTCGGAGGAAATCGTGCTGTGCTTGATATTTTAATATATTTGTTTTTAAGGTATGTATAACAAAATAAATTACTTATAAATTATCTAACAAAAACATAGTAGTAATTTCTATAAAAAAGAAAACTTTATAAAAAAACAAAAATAAACATGATTTTAATTTGAAATTAAACATCGAAAAATGTATTACGTAACTATTAAATTATAATATAAATTAAATATTATTATAGAAATTTCAATAAGAAGAAAAGAGCCATATCAATAATAATGGTTAATATTTAAGTATTAAGTATTATTTGTTTTATTAATTGTTCATTTTCACCTATAAAATTTTTTACTTTTTTACAAAATAAACCAAATGAGTTCAGGGATCTGAGGTTCTGTGGCAAAATACCGAATATTTTTGGACCTTTAACAAGAATTGATCTTTCAAAAGATGTTGACGGTATCCTTGGAATTTGCAAAAATTCATGTCTAGTATTATATGTATGTTGTACTAGTTCTCTGAGTTCAGGATTTTTGTAAACAAATTTTGAAACATTTAAAGCATAGAGCTGGTCAAAGTTAAGTACTCCCATTTCCTTATAAATTTCTTCAGTTGGGGATCGACGTTTTTTTGATAATATCGTTTTAACTATCCATTTTTTTGTTGTTATTACATTTTTAATTTGAGATTCGTATGTGCCTCCCCAAATAATAATACCATAAGATATTATTGATTCTACCAGTGACTTATAAGCAATTTTCATTATGTTAACCGGTACTATATCTCTGAGTCTGTAAAATGTAAATACTAATTTTTTTAGTTTGTTGTTTATAAAGTTGCTATGTTCATAAAATTTAAAAGTATTATTTATAATCATTCCGAGGTATTTTACGGACTCAGTTTTCTCAATTGTTCTTTCACAGAGGCAATTTATGTTTTCGTTGCATTTGGAATGAAATATTAAACTATTAAATTCAGGCTGAGTAGAGGAACTATTTGTAAATGTTAAAAATTTAGTTTTTGTAAAATTAAGACTAAGCAGGTTGTTATCTAGCCAGCGTTTTACTTGGTACAGTCCCTTTTCAGCGTCTTTTTTTACTTCATGCCAAGCATTACTATTAAAAATAAGTACTGTATCATCAGCATATGATAGTATGTCCCCAAATATGGGCATTTTGAGCAGATCATTGATGTATATTAAAAACAATTTGGGTCCTAAAACTGTGCCTTGTGGTACGCCATATTCAATTTCTTTTGAATTACTTAAGATGTCCTTTACTTTGACAAAAGATTCTCGATTTGAGATATAGGTTTTAAATAATTTTAAGACTATTCCTCTAACGCCATAAACTTCTAATTTTTCAAGTAATAATGAGTGACAGATACTATCGAATGCTTTTGCCAAATCTAAAAATATAGCTATAATTTTCTTCTTTTTGTTTAATAATGTTTGAATTTTTTTTGTAAAACTGAATAAAGCGTCTTCTGTGGAGCATTTGTTTCTAAACCCAAATTGTTTTTGCGACAATAAATTATTTTTTTCAATGTGCTCATCTAACCTGCTTGCTATGCATTTTTCAAAAATTTTCGCGAATACAGTTATGACAGATATTGGCCTATAGTTTGATGGATTAGACTTGGTGCCATTTTTAAATATTGGTGTAATTATTGCCTGTTTTAGTCTGTCTGGAAATGTTCCATTAATAAATGTTAGATTTATGATATGAACAAGAATATCCGTTATCCATTCTTTTGTTATTTTAATAGTTTTTGTGTTTATTTTGTCTATTCCAGGTGCTGTATTATTTTTTAATTTTAATATTATTTTTAAAATTTCTTCCTTACTAACCGGTTTTAAGAACATTGATTTTTTTATATTAATATTAGGTCTCGAAATTTGACCTATTTCGGAAAAATAATTATTTTTTATGTTTTTTTGCGATGTTTTCGCCGACTTTTGCAAAATAGTTAATAAAAACATTAGCGACTTCAGCTGGTTCCAATGTACGATCACCTTCGATAAGTTCAATGACATCAGTTTTATTGTTATTGTTTTTTATTATTTTCCAAATTTGTTTTGTATTATTTTTACTTTGATTAATTTTATTTCCGTAATAAACTTGTTTTGATTGTTTTAGTAGTTTGGTTAAAAAGTTTCTGTACCTTTTATACTCATTTAAAAGTTCTATATTATTTTTTTCTTTTAGCAAACGTCGTTTTAATTTGTCCCGAGTTTTTATTGATTTTATTAGTCCCTCTGTTATCCACGGTTTTAATTTATTATAGTTTTTTATATTTTTGTACGCAGTACAGGTATTTATATAGTAATTATATTTGTTTATAAATAGTTCAAAGGCTCTGTTTGAGTCGTTTTCCCTATAAATAATCTCCCAATTCTCATTTTCTAGCATTGCATTTAATTTTTTGTATTTTATAAGTTTTAACTGTTTGAACTCAAATTTAGGTGTTTTAATTTTAAAATTGTTTGAAATATTAATTAAAATATTGTAATGGTCCGTAATATGTGATCTATGAATAATAGGGGTTATATTAGTATTTTTAAGTTTGTCATTTATTTTTATAAAAGCATGATCAATGCAACTTCCATTTTCGGGGGTTTTTCTGGTTGATCGATTAATATATGAAATATATCCGTTTGCGCTTAAAGTATTTATATATGCGTTTGTTATGTTATTTTCTGATTTAATATCGATATTTATATCTCCAATAAAAACATTAAAATCACCAATGCTATTGATTTGTAAGAAAGGTGTAAGATCATCTATAAACAAATCAGGATCAGTAGATGGAAGCCTATAAAGAGCAAAAATATTATATTTGACATCATCAATTGAAAAATCAATTCTGGAAACAGTTACTTTAGAACTTTGCAGCCTAAAATGACTTATTAATGGTTTAATATTGTTATTTACAAAGAAAACTAGCCCATCATTTTGATTTAATCTCGATTCGTTATAATATGGTGTAAAATTGTTTATATTATATTGTGAAACCTCATTAATATTCCATATTTCCCCAAAAATAATTACATCACAATTAAATTCTAACGATTCCAGATATACTAATACTTCATCAAAGTTTTTATTTATACTACGTATATTAAAGTGAATTATATTTAGTCCATTTTTTATTCTTTGCAAATTTATGTCGCTCAAATCCCTAAATTCATCAATTTTATAGGTTTCTATGTTATTATAGCTATCTAATTCTTTTAAAATTTCCGCCATAATTACAAAATAAACTATTATAACAACTTACAAAAATATTCAAAAAGAAAAATACAATATTAAAGTATAAATCAAATAAATACAAAATATATTAAGTATGTATAAACATTTCTTCTCTTTCCGTTTAAAGATTATCAGTTATAAAAGAAATTTTTTATTTTTTTTACTTTGTGTTATTTAAAATTTCTAAGCTTTTTAATTCGGTTTTTTTATTATTTATAGAAGTAAATACCTTGCCATTTAAACTCCAAACATTCTTGTATCCAAATTTTTCAGAAGCGGCCGTTAATATTTCCATTTTATTCTTCGTTAAGTCTTCTTTGATGTGGATCTTGGTACCCTTTAATTTTTTCCTATTTTTTATTATTTCCACTTTATCTACATAGTTCTTTAGTTTTACAAATACTGATCTGGGTTTATTATTACTTAAGTTTCCTACTCTGTAGCATTCCTCAATTTCCGTATTTTCCAGATCCATGTTTGAAAATGTTTTATTTAATTCATTTTTTAGTATTTCCTGCGGATTTTCCGCTAAACCAAAGATTCGAACATTTTTCCTACGGGAATATTGTTCAAGTGAATCTATTCTAGTTTCTAGTACTTGAATTGTTTTTTCGTATTTTTGTTTAATTTCACTCAGTGTTTTTTCTAACGTTTCGCTGACCTTGGATATTAATTTGTCGGTAAATGATTTGCCATCAATCACTTCTAATAATGCCTTTTCTATACTTGGATTAAGGTCTTTGAAGATCTCTTGTTTTATTTCCTTTAGTTGTTCACGAGTCAAAATTCCCATTTTGTATTATTTTCACCAAATTTCACTAATTTTTCACTGTTATATTTAAACTTTAGCACGGAGCGAGAAAAACACGTCTACTCGATACGACACATACCGTATATGTATTTAAACATGATTAATCTTAAACTACATGCTAAAAGACCTTTACCTATGTCTGCTGACGCTGTATCCAAAGCCAAATAAATTAATAAACACTGGAAAACGCAATACTTTGTATTGTCAAAACACCAGCCACCCGTAGGGAATTCCCACGTTTTATGTCAATAATTGACAGTCAATTGTTGGTTCGTTTGATTCCGTGCGACATCGACATAGAGAAACAGCAGGCCACTGAAGCGCAATGACTATAAAATTGTGTGCGCCGCGGCGTGCTTGTATTTATGTTTGTCCAGCTGGTAAAACAGTTCGCTATAGTTTTATAAAAGGCTTGAAATAATAAATGGCGAATAAAACACTACCTTTATAAAGTTATTAATATAAGGTTTAATTTTGGATTCTAAATTTTAAAAATAACGGACACAAAAAAATAACGGACCGGACAAACGGACGCCCTGAAAAAAACGGACTGTCCGTTAAAAAAACGGACGTATGGCAACCCTACATATATAGGTAGGTATATTATACAAAAATGTAACTTTTTCGAAATGCGAGATAATGCGCATTATTTCTTGTATAATAAGGTACTATTGTTATTTAGTTTAAAAGATATTAAGCAAACAGAATTAAAATTGTTATGATTTAAAAAATCTACTATTTTTACATGTTCTTAAAGTTTGTCCATTTAAATTTAAACAATGGTATATTTAAAATAAATTTTAAGGGCAAGACCACTTCTGCATAATGAATTGGCGGGCAATATGAAACTATTTTGTAATTAGGTAAATTTACCTGTAGCAGGCCCATGCGCTGTTTTGGGTGTTCAAATTAAATTAAATTACAATTTTCACTTGAAATCCTGAAAAATAACACAAAAATCCATATTTTTTATAAAATTTTACTTAAAAAACTGAAAAATAACCTATAAATATATATTGCTTTATAAAATATTTCACTTGAATACTGAAAAATATCTTTTAACAGCAATCAGAAAAAACACAAAAACCCGACACCCCAACAACCCCCTCCATAACCCACCAAACACCCTCCTTTATGAGATTATTAATATTCCCAACATCCTTACAGTTCTTGTAGAACTCGCCAAAAGATTTAAAGAATCAGAATCAAACATCAAAGATATTGAAACAATGTGCATCAATCTGGGAGATGAACAAAGAAGAAGCAAAAAGCCAAGCCTCACCTTGTGGGAATTATTAAAGGAATAGCATTCCCCTTTTTATTGGTTCAAATATATGAGTATTATGATAAAATTTGTTAATTTTTTTTTCTTTTTTTATATACATAATTTTTTTTATATATGTATATACCAAAACATTCAATGTCTAACATTGTATAGAAACATATTATTTGTTGTAAATGGCCAGAAGGACCTAGGTCAATAGCCCTTTGGTGAACCCAATACAGACTTTTTTTTATATTTATGGAAAAAAATAAAAAATGTGAAGAGATGAAACCGAAAAAGCGAGTTTAGTTGATTAATTATTATTATTTAATAATGCCATATATAGGTAGGTATATTAACAGGGCTCCCACGGCTAAATTACAAATTTTATTTAGGAATTTAGGAGGATTTTGTAAAATTTTACGAGAAATAAAGTATGGAAATGAATTTCTTTAATTAAATAATAACATAACTGACTACTTAAAAAAAAATTAATACTTCTTTTGTAACAATAAGTTATTTTGACTAGTTTTTTAGCCAAATCGCTCGATGAGTTTTTTTTTAATAAAATTAAAAGTGAGGTAAAATTACTACTTTTGTATATATCTGAGGTACATATGTATATTATACAAGTATAAATTTCACCACACTTAAGTTTATTTAAAAAAATGCGTCGATAGATTTGGTAAATGCCAAAATCAAATGATGTTATCTTTATATTTTAAGAAAAAATATATTAACCGTTTAGTTAATAACTAAAAGTAATTAAATCGATAAAGTTAAGAATAGTACAAGTCCAAAAGTAAAATTTTTGATAAAATATTTTAAAAAATCAGTTTTATAGTTCTAAATGCATTTTTGTTAGAATATTTTAACTATTTTATGAAATATAATATTCATATTTTGTAAAATAATTTATATCTTCTAACAAAAATGTATTTTAAACTTTAAAATTGATTTTAGAAAATAAATTGTCAAAATTAAATTTTTATTCTCACCGATTCAATTGTAATGTGGAACTTAATACTTAAAAATCTCATAACAAAATATGAAGTTTGCAAAATACAGCAAAACATTCTTTAGATTGTTTACTATTTTAGCTGTCATTTAAAAGAAAATTAAAAATCCTTTTGTTTGGTATATAACACGGTATAATTTTGACTAAAAAACGAAATATCGCTAAAAATGACAATTTTGAAGAAGTTTTTTTTAAGAAAAATTTTAGTTGTGATATTAAATTATTTTAAAAAGAATTTTTTTAGCACTACCTTAATTAAACGCAGTCAGGTTGGCCTATTTAATTTTTTAGGAGTTTTAGGAGATTGAAGGCAATTTTAGGAGAATTTTAGGAGTTTTCAAGATTTAAGCAAAATTTTAGGAATTTTATGAGTTTTAGGAGGTGTGGGAGCCCTGTATTAATAATTATAATCATATATGGGTTAATTTAATCATAATCAAGCCTTTAAAGTCTATTCAAATCCAAGCTGGACTAAATGTGAACACAATCCTCCGAATCGACCAATAAGAGTTCACAATCCGAGTCACACCATCAGAATCGACCAATAGAAACGAGTTATCACGCGTCTGGGCGTTTTTGTTTAGTCCAGCTTGGATTTGAATAGACTTTAGTGTTATTTTATTTTTGTTACTTATTTTGGTATTAACACAACTGATAATGGTTATTACTTAATAAATAAAAAATTACCTTCTTCAGATGCAGGGGTTTGTTCCTTCTTCTCCTTCTTGGAAGGCCTGACCCTGGTGCCAGGTCTGGGTTTTCTTTCTCCCACATCAGGCAATTCCACACCCTGCGCCTTCAAACTGTCGATCATGGCCTGCGCTCTTGCCCTATCAGCTTTTTGTTTTGCAGTCAACAATTTTCCTTCGGCTTTCAAGCGCTCTTTACGCTCCTTCTCCTTTTGCTTCTTCTTCTCTTTGCGTTCCTGTTCCAGCCTTAAAGCCTCCAGTCGCGCATTCTCCGCTTCTTCTTCGCGTTTTATCCTCTCTTCCTCCTCGCGCTTTGCTTTCTCCTCCTCCTCCTTGATTTTCTTTAACGCTTCCTGCATGGCAGCGATCGTTTTTTTGCCTGGTCCCTTCTTTGCTTCTTTCTCTTCCTTCTCCAGTTTATCTTTGGCACCCTTCTTCTTCTTCTTTTTACCATCCTTATCACCCACTTCATCTCCTCCATCACCTTCTTGCGCTTTTTCTTCACCGGCCGGCTCTTCTGCAACCTGTTCTATGCTGTCCTGCTTTTTTGGACCATCCTGAAATAATTTGAATAAAATAAAATCAAACATAAAATTATGACTATAAGTTTTACCAAAAGAAAGAACGTATTTTTGTTTAGTATACCAGAGAAGTTAAGTTTTATTAAATTTTTTAAATTTGAGCCAATTGATTTCTAAAAAACAATTGAAATCCAATTTTAATGAAATTTTTAGGGTGTACTACAAAAACTATGTCCTATCTTTAAATGACATTCTTAAACTTTTGTCTGTATTCCCTAAAATTAATACTATACTAATAACTTCTACATAAAAGTCACAGCTGTTCCCTATAAGGTATATTGTTTAATTACTTTTTTCGCCGCCATTTTTTTCTGTTTCTCACGTTCCTTCTTCTCCTTTTTCTTTTGAGCAGCTGTTTTTAAAGTGACACCTTCCTCTCCATCTTCCCCATTATCTACCTCCTCTTGATCTTCAGGTTCCTTAACTTTTTCCTTCTTTTTTGATTTCTTCTTTTCTTCTGCAGGTTCATCAGCATCTTCTTGTTTTTCAACTACTCCTTCTTTCTTTACACCTACAACATTATTATTGTGTAAAATCATTGTTACCTAAATCCTTAAACATGGTTGTTACCTGAATATTCCATCTCTAACTCAGCTAAAACCTTCTCTATATCCTCATCACTTTCATCACGTTTTCTTCTAGCTTTTTTTCCCTTTTTGCCCCCTTTTTCATTAGTCCTTTCATCACTATCCTGCTTGCCTTTCTTCTTACTGTCTTTTTTAGCAGGTTTAACCTCACTTTCACTGTCCTCTTCATTGTTTAAATCATCAGGAATGTTGTTGTCTTCAACTTCCAGCAAAGCAAATGATTTTTGGACTTTGCTTACGCTTGTTTCAACCTCCACGTCCTCATCGTCGCTTTTTGGCACCTTTTTCTCCTTTTTACCTTTACTTTTTTTACTATCAGGGTTGACTTCATCAGTGACATTGTTCCTAAATTTTGTTTATTTACAATATTATTTAACAGACCATTGTAATTTACAAAAAAAATCCACATTATTTACGTGGCAAAAGGCCAAAATATGCTGTTACATGTACACAAACCTAACCTAACTCTTAAAAATATTGCATAAAATCATGTACTTACTTGCCAGCCTTGCCCTTTTTGCTGTTGGCTTTATCTATTAATTCTTGCGTATCGACTTCAGCCTCAGAATCGCTAAAATCGTGATAAATTTAATAAAACCTTATGACATATGTCGAAATTTTACCTCTCGTCTCCTTTACGTTGCTTTTTAACTTTCCCCATGGCAGATTATTATTTAATTCACTGTTCTCCGGCGAAATTCGATAGTTTATCATAAGTATTTTAGTGGTTTTACAATTTTTTCATCAAAATTGCTAAAAATACATGCTCGAAACGGGCACATTTAGGGATTTTCAGATTTTTGATGTTTCTTATAGGATCTTTCAATAGGTACTATCCAGAGATAAACGTACTATCCAAATTAAGTTTAATCAATTTTTTTTCTCAAATCTTTGTTATAAATATAAAAAACATAAACTTTTAAATATATTTAATTAAATAAAACTCAAATTATAGTAATAAAATATGAAATAAATAAAATACCAAAATAATTTATGACGTTGAAAGTCTACGGTATGCCCGCATAAAATATCCTAATGGTGTTGGTTACACTGCATAGTGACATTTACGTTACTATGCAACCCAGATTACATCCGATTGCTTCATTGGTTACATAAATTGAAACAAATAAATTTAATAGATTCTTTGCTCGAACCATGATACTACATCTATGGTTCGAGCCTTCTTTATCTCTGGAACCACAGCTTAAACTTAAAGGCATTAATTTATTTAATCTTTATTTCAATTAATTTTTTAAATTATTTTAACACGAAATCTATCTACATCTATGGTTCGAGCCTTCTTTATCTCTGGAACCACAGCTTAAACTTAAAGGCATTAATTTATTTAATCTTTATTTCAATTAATTTTTTAAATTATTTTAACACGAAATTTTACCACAAACACCTGCAATAATTTTTGGATTTGGTTTTTTGAGGAAATTTCATTAAGATAATAAATTCTTCAAAATAACTTAATTGATAAAAAAATATTTGTAACAAAGTATTTTTTGATAAATTGTATTCCTAAAAATCTGTTTCCTTCTGCAAGAGACTGTTACCCTCCAATTATTTATATTTTTTGTTGAAGCTCTAAAAGAATAGTGCTCTAGCGCGACAAGGTTTTTATAAAAGAAAACACAATAATACATAGCTTATAGTGTATATTTACAATAAAAGTGATACAGAAAATAATATAAATATCTGTACCCCAGAGCCAAATTGTATAAAGTAAACTTTTTTAAAATTACGTTACACATTTTTTGGATTAAGTCCTGGCGTACCATTTTAAATTGCAAAAAAACGTAGGCAAAAATATGTAAGGGATTTTAAAAATACATTATGTGCTTTGTTGTACAGATGCATTGTTAGACTTTTATAAAAGATATTGAATAACAACAATACTTATAACTAGGAAGGTTGTATGTTACATTAATTAATTCATAATATGAGTTTAATATAAATATATTTCCTTAAAATCTAGAAACTACCATATTCACAAACTGTTTCCCTCAATATAATAAACAATTCATTAATTAATAAAGTAGCAAGTAGTCCATATTGTTGCTTTGTTGTTGGTAATTGAGAAGGCACACATTTTAAATAGTTTGCTAGTTTTTAACGAGTGTCAAAATGTGCCACCAAAACAGAAGAAGAAAGGAAGTTATAAAAAACAAGTGCTAATAGCCGTAGCGATCCTGCAGTGAGGACATAAAACCGTTGGCAAGGGAACCAATTTTTCCTGCAACTTTTGTCACTCCTTGCCTCACACTTTCCTTTACATCATCCAGATCGTACTGCTGCAGATTGTTGCTGTAGCTTTGCGACTGTGACGATTCTAAACAAAATAAAAAACAAGCTTTAAAATACAAAATTATAAGACATATTGCAATAATAATTCTGCAAATACCAAATTTGTAAAATTACAAGTCTATAAGTAAATGTAGTAAATTAGGTAAATTTTGTAAAAAAAATCCAAAAAATGTGGCAATTATACTAAAAAATGCAAAAATCTTGGGAAATTTTGTAAAAAAAAATGTGAACCTTGTAAAAAGATACAATACAATTTTGTAAATACACCAAAAATCAGCTAAATCTTTAAAAAAATACAAAAAACCTGGTAAATTCTGTAAAAAATAAAAGAAATTTTGTGTATCTGGTAAAAAATACAAAAAATCCCATAAATCATTTAAAAAATGGTTGGAATTGATTACATTTGCACTTTAAAATGATAGAAGTTTACTTTAATATGATAGAATTAAAATTCAGCTGGCAAAAAAGAAACGTTTTTTTTTTTATAAAAACCGGAAAAACAATTTAGAGAAATATTGTCTTTTGTTTTTGTCTTTAATTCTTGTATTATATGTACTTGGAATAAATCACTTTTTCTGCAAATTTCCCAACTTTTTCTGCAAATTTCCCAACTTTTACGTTTTAAATGCTTTTGTAATTTAAAAGTATTTCAATCCAAAGTGCAGTTAAAAGCAGGGTTCAATAAAAAACCATGAATTAAAAAAAATCAAAAATCAATGATTTTTATTTAAAAATCAACAAAATGATTTTTTTGATTTTTTTTTAAATTATAAGCTTTTTTAAATAAGGTTACTATTAAAAAAATACTAAAAATAACTTGACTATAATAATAATATATTGGCACTACTTTATAAACAAATAAACCACCATCCACAACTGTCATATATTTTTTTGAATATTCCTTTATTAGTTTATTTAACAAAATAAGCAGTTTTTCTATGCATATGAATTTATTTAAATAGTGTCAAGATATTATTCTGCTTTAGTTTTAGATCTTTTAATTTTTTTTTATATTTTAGAAACTTTTTTAAAACTGATTTAAATCATTGTTTAAAATAAAAAAATCACTTAATTTAAATTGATTTAATTTAATTAAATGATTTAAATCAGGTGAACCCTGGTTAAAAGGTAAAAATTCAAAAAATATTGTCATTTGAAATATTATTTTTATTGGCTGAAGGACCTAGGTCAATGGCCTTTTGATTGTTGTAATTTTTGTAATTTATGATAATCAATAAATAACTATTATTATTATTATTATCACATAATTCTTTACTATATTTTGTAATAGAGTAAAAATAATTAAAAAATTAAAGAAAAGCAAAAAAAACAACTATTTGAACCCCTGACAATAGTGAGGAGAGTGTTTTGGACCATTAAGACGTCTACCAAATATGGTAAAGAAAATTTGGTAAATATTAATATTACGTAATTTTAATACTTATTTGTTTTACAAGTGTTGAAAAGCGACTTTTTCATGCGAGTTTTTAAGCTGCCCACGAGGCCGTTAGGCCGAGTGTGCATTAACACGAGCTTGAAGAAAGCTTTTCTCACAAGTATAACACAATGTTTTTTCTGCGACCCTTTTATTTTTTGTTAATTTTAAATACAAAACCAAATAACCTAAAAACTTTTTTGACAGCTGAATGTCAAACGATGCTGTCAATTTCTTTTCACACAGACCTGTCACTTTTCACACAGAAATGTCACTTTACATTCGTAAAGAATGAAGAATGAAAAGATTCATTTAATAAGCAACAATACCATCATGAAAAGTGACTTTTACATAGTGGTCGTAGAAAAAATATATTTCTAATTTTTAACTTCACAGCCATTCCACGTTACTCGGGAATTTTTGTAGCGTCCGTTACAATAAAAAATTGCGAGTAAAACTACCGTAATTATGATGCTTATAAGCTTAAGCCTAATTATTACAAGCATAATAAATATGTTTGCAATAGTAACTATTATAATAGTATTTAATTTATTTACGGTAGCTTTTACTCACAATTTTTGATTGTAACGGACGCTACAAAAGTTCCCGAGTAGCGTGGAATGGCTGTTCAACAAAATAAAAATCTAGCGAATCTTGTGAAAAGTACAATAAAGCTGGCAAATCCTATAAAATAATAATAAAATTGTCGAAAAGTGTAACAGAAATTGAACATACCGTTGCCATTTCCGAAGAAATCGGCCGAAGAAATGCTGGATGAGCCCTGGAACCTGTTCAAGTTTGCTTTTGTTTCGTAATCGGTCTCCTGATTGTTGAAATACTGTTCTGAAGAGATGGCTTTGGCGTTGCCAAATTTCCTTTGAGCCGTCTCGCCGCCTCCGCCCATAGGCGACTTGTCCACCACTTTTGGTTTGTCTGAAAATTCTCAATTTTAACACATTGAATACAAATAATAAAACAAAAAATACTAACCATAAGATTTGGTGTAGTTTGAAGACGAAGATGGTTTTTCCGGGGGATCGTCGACGATCACCCAGCTGTCCTTTTCTTTTTGGTTTATTGCGGATTCCAGTTTTTGCTTGGTCTTTTCCAAGTTGGAAATCTTGTTGAGCAAGTCAAAGGTGTCGTTGGAAGAGGCGGAGGGCGGGTTCATGTACATTGACGAGAAGCCGCCGCAGTCGTCGAAGAAAGTGTCGTTGTCCAAAACTCGCAGTTTTCCCAAGGAACTCAACGTTCTTGGTTCCTGCTCCTGCTGGATCATGTGCATGTCGCTCAGCGCGGAATGACTCACTCCGCTACAACAACAGAAAGCATAAAAATATGTACTACAACTTGCAACACTGTTTTAAATAATATTACAAAAACGGACTAAAAATGTACTAAAACCGTTTATAAAATGTCTAAATAGTACAACTGTTTAAAAAATCTCTTGAAACTAATCAAAATGCCTCATAACTGTCTAAATATGTCTTTAAAGTTTAAACTAATTTTAGTTTTGTCAGAACTGTAAAAAATGCCCTGACAATATTAAAAACAACCGATTGTTTCGACCTTACAATATAAAACAACAATTTTTAAGAGAGTCCCAGGATTAATTTTGATTTTTACAATTGTTTTCTTCCACTTCCTATATAGACCAGGGTCGATAATTTTTGAAACCATAAAAAAAAACAGTAGGATGAAACCCATTGGAAAAGGAGAAGAATATAATAATTTATATTATATTATTAATAAAAATGAAAGGAAAAATAAATTACGGGCGATCTGACTTCGGGAAGTGGGAGGGGGGGTTTTAAGGGTAAAAAATGGTTTATCTCGATTTCCGGCAAAACTACAAGTCCTATGGAAAAAAGTTAAATGGCAAAGTTGTAGGTAATAAAAGGATCTACAACTTTTGTAATTACAATTTTTCTTACATAACCTCAAAATTTATGTGAAAAATTCAAAATGTCCCAAATACACTGTAATTTATTTGATTTGAAATATTTATTATTTCGCCTTATTTTGACTTAATATCAAAAAAGCACCCTAATTTTCAATCGAAAATTCTCGCGTCAAAATATCAGCTTTTTTCAAAAAGTCGGTGTTCTTTTTGTTCGTTGAAATCTCTACTTTCTGATGGTGTAAAAAAATATACATTACTATGGTAAATGTTCTCAGAAAATGCAAAAAATATTATAATGAATAACGAAAAAAACTCGAATTCGAAAATTTATTTTAATCATTATGTACAATTTCATCAAAAAAATGTGATTGTTGCAATTTTTTTTAGTTAAAAAGTTTATTTATTAAATTCTAATAACATTTATGTCAGAAAATCTCATAAAATATAAAAATACATGTAAATCATACTATTGAATTTAGATACTTCATTCTGATTACGTTATTCATTATAATATTTTTTGTATTTTCTGAGAACATTTACCATAGTAATGTTTATTTTTTTTTACACCATCAGAAGGTAGAGAGTTCATCGAACAAAAAGCACACCGACTTTTTGAAAAAAGCTGATATTTTGACGCGAGAATTTTCGATTGAAAATTAGGGTGCTTTTTTGATTTTAAGTCAAAATAAGGCGAAATAATAAATATTTCAAATCAAATAAATTACAGTGTATTTGGGACATAAAAAGGTAAGTTTTCACCAAATTTCGTGGAAAAAAATTTTTTTGAAAAAGATAAAAATAAAAAACCAAATTGAATTTTTCACATAAATTTTGAGGTTGTGTGAAAAAATTGTAAATACAAAAGTTGTAGATCTTTTTATTACCTACAACTTTGACATTTAACTTTTTTCCATAGGACTTGTAGTTTTGCCGGAAATCGAGATAAACCATTTTTTACCCTTAAACCCCCCCCTCCCACTTTCCGAACTCAGATCGCCCGTAATTTATTTTTCCTTTAATTTTTATTATATTCCCCTCCTTTTCCAATGGGTTTCATCCTACTGTTATTTTTTTTCTCTTTTTACCATTTTTAAAGGCTTCTGCACTGGTCTAATATTATGTTGATGAATTTATAATACCAGTATTTTGTTATATCACCAAGATTGCAAACTTGCATACATTTTAAAGAAGCTACAATGGTTTTTTTATATTATAAACAAAGTCCCAAAGTCAAAAATTGTGATCCTTCCATTTCCCTCTACTACCTTTAGTTGACTGGACTATTATACCATCTATAAAAAATGTTTTAAAACGGTCCTTAGTGACCAAATCAAAACAGTCTCTTAATTATACAAAAAGAATGTGTAAAATCTGTGTATAAATCGTCTGAGAAGGCACTTACGCTCTTGAACTGTTTCCCATGCCGAGCCTTTCAGCTTGGTCAGCTTTTTTGGGGTCCTGTTTCCTCATCTCAACCTCCCTTTTGTGCACCTCCTTGCTCAAATCTTTGTAAGCCAATCGGACCGCCGCGTCCCGTTCCTCCTGCTCTTTGGCCGACAACTCGGCGCTAAGGGCCGATTCTTCCCGCGCACGAAGCCGCGATTGCTCGGCCATTTCCGCCTCGCGCTCCAAATCGGCAAAGTTCGTTTTCACTTTAGTGGCGCCCAATCCGGATTTTTTCGCGCCCAGCCCAGACTTTTTCGCCGGAGCTTTCCGCGCAGTTATCGTCGATTTTCTCGGCTCCGAGCCCGTTCCGCCGAAATCCACTTTTGGGCCCTCGCCGGGGTTCAAAGGAGGGTTCTGTGTCGTCGGCTAAGTTAAAAAATGTTTAGAAATAATAACACTGGACAGTAGTGATGAGCTAAACTGCGATATTTGCTTAACTGTTAATAAATGTTAGTGCGACTTTTCACCATTTGGTGCCAAGTAGCCAGGTGCCATGTAGCCAACAGTTGTGTTTTGAGATATTTTTAAAAATTCTAGCAAGTTTATGATCTTTATAGTTTCATTTTACTCTTATGAATTACCAATTACCCCTTAAAAAAAATTTTACCTACGCGCCTGACAATTTATTAACTTAATCATTTTGCTGCTAAATGTTGGATCTGTTGAAATATATTTACTATGTTTATTAATTAATACTTAATAATATTATTGATAAATAAACTTGTCGCGATTCGTAAAAATAGCAGTTTTCGCCAATAGCTGCTATTTTTGATATTAGTATTAGTATAGTAGAAAACTTTTAATTCCTGATAAAACAAATTTGTCCTTAGTTCAAAAAAGTATGAAAAATTAAATAATAAAAATTTATAATCACATCATATAAAAACACTAAATGATAAAAAATTTAAACTTGAAATTATAAAAATATTACAACTTCAGTGTTTTTACTCCACAGAGGAATTTTATGATTATAAATTTTAAAATATTTTAGTTGAAAGCCTATTTTAAAACCTACACTAAGCGTCAAAATTAACGCATAACAAGTTAAAAAAATCCAAGTCTAAAACGCCTTTATAAAATTTTGGATAAAAATACTTTAACTTATGTATAAAACAAATTTGTCATTAGTAGTGTGAAAAATGAAATAATAAAAATTTATAATCATATTCCACATCATATAAAAACACTAAATGATGGCCTTTAAAAAATTTAAACTTGAAATTATAAAAATATTACAACTGTGTCCACAGAAATTTTTTGATTATAAATTATATAGATATATCTCAGTTTACGTGTTCAAGGGTTTTTCGAGAAAATATCCTTAAAGCCCTTTTATTTAATAATAAAAAACGCTCAAAAAAAAACTTTTATAGGGAAATTTTTTTAAGTAAATAAAAAAATATGCTGTGAAAGACCGTATTTTTGTTAGTATACCCTGAACATTTTGTACAAATCAAACAAACAGTAACAAAAATACAGCGCTTCAAAGTCGTCAAAAATGACCACTTTTCAGCAAAAAGGGGTCATTTTTACCGACTTTGAAGCGATGTATCTTTGTTACTGTTCGTTTGATTTGTACAAAATTTTCAGGGTATACTAACAAAAATACGGTCTTTAATAGCATATTATTTATTTCGTTAAAAAAATTCCCTAAAAGTTATTTTTCGAACTTTTTTTATTATTAAATAAAAGGGCTTTAAAAATATTTTCTCGAAAAACCCTCGAACACGTAAACTGAGATATTTGAAGTATTTTTATACAAGATTGGTAAAGGCGTTTTAGAGTTAAAATTGTTTTACTTATTATGCGTTAATTTTGACGCACAGTGTATTTTACCAATTTGTTATTTTATCTTTACCTTGTATGTTCAATTATTGTTAATACTTTGTGTACTTGTATTGTATCACTATACAGGTATTTTTTTTGTATTGAAGTGTTCGTTGCCCAAGAGGCTTTTTTAAATAAAGATTATTATTATTATTATTAAATAGTTGCTAACTGATATTTTTAAGTAGCAGCCATTTAATAACAGTTAGCACTATTTTTCTCATCACTAGTCAACAGCCAGTTTGCTGCCATGTAGACATTAATTTTTATAGGGTAATTAAGGTGCACCAGCTAAATCCAAAAAATGACAACTATTTTGCGATTTTGTAAAAAAAACCGTTTTTTCTCAATGCACACATCAAATTTGAATATATATTTTTTTAACCAAATAGTTTAAATGATTATGTAGCTATGGGTCCTAATTAAACTAAAAAAGGTATGGTTATTTTTGGAATCAGTACACCCAAATTACCCTAAAAAAGTTGCAACAAACAGATTTTTTTTATTTTGTTAGCATGCGTAATTGAAAAAACAATTATTCAGTTAAAATTCACCCACCTTACTCAAATGCTGTTCAGGCAAGTCTGGCATTTCAGGAGAGATAAATTTTTCATGTTCACTGAAAAAATCTATCTCTTTTTCTGCATTATCATTTTTTTCCTCATAGTTTGGGTGTATATGAAGCTATCAAAAAACCAAAATAGTTAGGCACACAATAAAAACACACAAAAACAAGTTATTGAAATATAAATACAAAAAACACCCCTTTCTAACCTCTCGGTTTGCTTTTAGGAAGAAACCTGAATAAGGCATTTCTAACTGGAATGAAACAAAAATTTAATTTTAATGATATTTAAAAAAAACTACTTACATCTTTGTTGGTTTTCAAGGAATGCAAAGCTGCATGACTTAATTTTTCTTTGTACAGCTGAGCAGCCCTGGAATTGTATTTTTTCTGAGCATCAGAGGTCTCACAATTGTGTTGTTGGAAAAATTGTTGCTAAAAATACGTTTTTAATACTTTAAGCAACATATAAACTTAAACACATACAGCATTGCTGTTCCCCCCAAGTTGCATTTGACGCAATTGTACCCATGTCCAGTTTGTGTCAAGCAGTGTGGATCGTACAAAGGTTAAATGTACCCCTAGGCTACGATGCACTGCAGAACAGTCCAGACAAATAAAAACACCATATGTGACACTTGACCATGAAGGATTTTTGGCATAACAATCAAAACATTGCTAAAATAGAAACAATATAAATAAATAATTTGTGATAGTTTAAGGAAAAATCAGGAAAACAAAAATATTACAGTATTATAAACCACGTCATGAAAATAAACATCAAGGATAACCTATTTCAACAATTGTACATATGTAAAATTAATTCCCGAGCTGGTTTTAATTAATTATATACCTTATTCGCTGGAATTGCTCTTAGTCTGTGAAAAACTGATTCTATATCAGATTTAGATGGTTGCGACTCCATTTTCTAGGCAGAAATTTCGATGTTTTTCAACGAAACTTGACAAACTGACACTGACCAAATCATCAACTTCTCATTTTGGAGGCCGATAACACAGACTTCTAACACCGACTTTACTCTAATTTTGTATAGATGTCACTCTTTGAAAATATTTACATATACTTACCAAGTATATGAATATTTACACATACTGGAAGTACCTATGTGAATATTTAAATTGATTATTTAAAAAAAATTAATCTACCAAACACAGATACAGAATGTATTCTTCTTTATAATAATTTAAAATAAACTTTTATACCTAGAACTCTGTGTTCTGTTCTTAGTCAAAAATAACATAAACATAACCTTAAAGCAGTATTTTGAATTATATCTGTCAGTTGAGTGTTAACAAAACAAAAGTATGCATTGAGCAGTGATTTTTCTTTTGTGCATTTTTCTTTTGTGCATTTCCTATTTATAAATAAGTTTAGTAAATTGGCCACGAAGCAGTTTTAATTTCAACAAAGGACAGCTCAATCATGATGAATTTGCTCCCAATAGAAGTTATTGAAAGGATTATTTTAAAATGTGATGGAAAAACATTGTTGAACATACAGAAAATCGACGAAAATTGGTGCCAGCTCATAGAATATCTCACACAGGTAAATAATATTTTTTATCTCCACGCGGTCTATAATTTAAACTTTATTGTTGTCAACATTCGATAAAGAAATACCTTGTTATGGCCTAGGCCGATAAAAATTTTTATGAGGCAAGTAATTAGTTCGATTTTTTCTCGCTAGGGGTATTGTTTTGACAAATTAATCCTTTTCTAAGAAATTAACGTACTAAACTGGTTTAATTTATTTATAATAAGCACTAATTTGTTTGTTTTACTGTTATAACATTATAATGGTTAATATTTTTCATTAAATTATTGTAAAATTAAATATGAATAATAAAACAAAAAGTGAGGTTACGACATTGCAATTTGACGTTTCACAGTTGTGTTTTCTTTTTCTACGATTTAAATTATCTTTAAATTTTAATTTGCTTTAAGTTTTCAGTAAAATTAAATGTTAAACACAGCGTAAACATTCCAAACTACCTATTTTTTTAATAAAAATGCAAACAAATTGAAATTAGATACCTATTTATTAAACAATTAATTGAATTCAATGTAATAGCAAGAGGGTAAGTAAACCATTTTCTTACAAAAATCCATTTCTACTTAAATCATGTAGCTAGGTATTGTCAAACTATTACTGCTTCTAAAAGGAATAATAATTATTGTACATTTAATGTAATCTTTAGCTAATAAATAAATGAGATTCAAAAAAGTGAGGTTAGGCCCTTTTCATGTTGAATTAAATTGACCTATATAAAGTGCTTTGAAGATAAAATGTTGTATGCCATTCGGCCAAGAAGTGTCTTTTTGTGCTTCGCTCAATTGTAGGCCTCCGCTACGCGTCGGCCTTCAAACTTTGAGCTTAGCACAAAAAGCCTTACTTCTTAACCTAATGACATAAATAACTATTTGTTTACAAAGTTACCTCCATAACATGGTACTAATACCATGCCTCCACAGTGCACTATCATAATAACATTTTTAATGTTAACGATTTTGATATTGCTATTTGGTACCTAATAATTTGTTTACAAACGTGTTTGCTAAGTTATAAATTTAACTGTTTAGATTAGGAATCTATAACAATAATAAAAACAGATATTTTAACAGTTTTTTTTCTTCAAATTTTTACATTCACATTCTGGTCATTTTGATTTTAATCATTATAATAATTGAAAACACAGAAAACACACTCTGTGGTTGAAAACAAATCAAACAAATAACGCTGTGGCTCCCGTCCCGAGGCGGGACTTAAGTTCAGTCCCGATTGACGTCATAATTTTAAGATTTGTTATGTTATAATAAAATAATAATAATAATAAATTGTACCTGTATACATGTTAAGGGCACTTTAGTTACGTCATAAAACCAAACCAACCCAAACTCAACAACACAACCCAACCGACCCCGCCCCATTGGCCCCCCCCGCCCCATTGAGCAAAAAACCCAACTAAAATGGGCAAATTTATGTTACGATAAAAATAAAACACTTTTTAACAAAGAAACAACAAATTTATAAAATAAAAAAAAATAAAAAAAGTTTGACAACTTCTAGTGGAATCGAACCCGGTACCTCTCGCATGCCAAGCGACCGCCCTACCATCTAAGCCATCGAGCTTGACAGAATTTATAAAATCTCGGGGAATAAAAACGGATTTACAGTGTGTGACGTCAATCGGGACTGAACTTAAGTCCCGCCTCGGGACGGGAGCCACATCGAACAAATAAATCTCATACCTACCTATAGACCAGTGCAGAAGCCTTTAAAAATGGTAAAAAGAGAAAAAAAATAACAGTAGGATGAAACCCATTGGAAAAGCAGGGGAATATAATAAAAATTAAAGGAAAAATAAATTACGGGCGATCTGAGTTCGGGAAGTGGGAGGGGGGGGGGGGTTTAAGGGTAAAAAAATGGTTTATCTCGATTTCCGGCAAAACTAAAAGTCCTATGGAAAAAAGTTAAAAGTCAAAGTTGTAGGTAATAAAAAGATCCACAACTTTTGTATTTACAATTCATTCACATAACCTCAAAATTTATGTGAAAAATTCAAAATACCAAGTTTTTGGTTTTTTATTTTTATCTTTAAAAAAAAAAAATTTTTCCACGAAATTTGGTGAAAACTTACCTTTTTATGTCCCAAATACACTGTAATTTATTTGATTTGAAATATTTATTATTTCGCCTTATTTTGACTTTATATCAAAAAAGCACCCTAATTTTCAATCGAAAATTCTCGCGTCAAAATATCAGCTTTTTTCAAAAAGTCGGTGTGCTTTTTGTTCGATGAACTCTCTACTTTCTGATGGGGTAAAAAAAATATACATTACTATGGTAAATGTTCTCAGAAAATACAAAACATATTATAATGAATAACGTAATCAGAATGAAGTATCTAAATTCAATAGTATGATTTACAAGTATTTTTATATTTTATGAGATTTTCTGACATAAATGTTATTAGAATTTAATAAATAAACTTTTTAACTAAAAAAAATTGCAACAATCACATTTTTTTGATGAAATTGTACATAATGATTAAAATAAATTTTCGAATTCGAGTTTTTTTCGTTATTCATTATAATATTTTTTGCATTTTCTGAGAACATTTACCATAGTAATGTATTTTTTTTTACACCATCAGAAAGTAGAGATTTCAACGAACAAAAAGCACACCGACTTTTTAAAAAAAGCTGATATTTTGACGCGAGAATTTTCGATTGAAAATTAGGTTGCTTTTTTGATATTAAGTCAAAATAAGGCGAAATAATAAATATTTCAAATCAAATAAATTACAGTGTATTTGGGACATAAAAAGGTAAGTTTTCACCAAATTTCGTGGAAAAAAAAAATTTTTTTGAAAAAGATAAAAATAAAAAACCAAAAACTTGGTTTTTTGAATTTTTCACATAAATTTTGAGGTTATGTAAAAAAATTGTAATTACAAAAGTTGTACATCCTTTTATTACCTACAACTTTGCCATTTAACTTTTTTCCATAGGACTTGTAGTTTTGCCGGAAATCGACATAAACCATTTTTTACCCTTAAAACCCCCCCCCTCCCACTTCCCGAAGTCAGATCGCCCGTAATTTATTTTTCCTTTCATTTTTATTATATTCTTCTCCTTTTCCAATGGGTTTCATCCTACTGTTATTTTTTTTTGGTTTCAAAAATTATCGACCCTGGTCTACTACCTACCTATGGCAAATTAATTTTTAAACACAAAATTTAGAATACAATGTTTTAAATTTTTGCTTTGTTCTTAATTTATTTAATTTCTATCAAAGTAGGGTTCTAGCATTTTCAGTTAAAATCTTAATGCTTAAAATATTATAATAAAATAGGTAAACCTATATAAAATAAAGTTGGGACACTGTTGAAATAATAATAGGTAATTATTATTATTATTAAATTAATTGTAAAATTGCTGAAAAATTCAAAAAATGGCTCAATCTTTGAATGAAGTACCTTTATGCTGACATTTTTATTACAAAGTGACTAGAAGTACACCGGGAGTACCGCTATTAAAAGTACACCGGGTGGAAAAAAATCCTTATTTAGCATATTTGTCAATTGTATAATATTAAATGGTCGCTCAATTTCGCTCTCAATGGGGCGGGGGGGCCCAATGGGGCGGGGTCGGTTGGGTTGGGTTGTTGAGTTTGGGTTGGTTTGGGTAATTCATACTGACATTTCATTAATTTTGTTGTTAATTGTATTTCAATCACTTAATTAAATTTTAATCAATGTTTATACAACTTGAAAGTTAGCTTAATAATTACATAATTAATATCAAGAGTTAACCAGCTCTTTACCAACTGTTATACAACTGGGCCTTAGTGTACCAATTTAATGTCAACTATTAAAAGTACACCGGGTGGAAAAAAATCCTTATTTAGCATATTTGTCAATTGTATATTAAATGGTCGCTCAATGGGGCGGGGGGCCCAATGGGGCGGGGTCGGTTGGGTTGGGTTGTTGAGTTTGGGTTGGTTTGAGTAATTCATACTGACATTTCATTAATTTTGTTGTTAATTGTATTTCAATCACTTAATTAAATTTTAATCAATGTTTATACAACTTGAAAGTTAGCTTAATAATTAATATCAAGAGTTAACCAGCTCTTTACCAACTATTATACAACTGGGCCTTAGTGTACCAATTTAATGTCAACTAATAAATCCGAAAATTTACCATCAGCTGTTATGGAAACACGCATGCGCACAAACCTGATGTACTTTTAATAGCGGTACTCCCGGTGTACTTCTAGTCACTAGAAGTACACCGGGAGTACCGCTATTAAAAGTACATCAGGTTTGTGCGCATGCGTGTTTCCATAACAGCTGATGGTAAAATTTCGGATTTATTAGTTGACATTAAATTGGTACACTAAGGCCCAGTTGTATAACAGTTGGTAAAGAGCTGGTTAACTCTTGATATTAATTATGTAATTATTAAGCTAACTTTCAAGTTGTATAAACATTGATTAAAATTTAATTAAGTGATTGAAATACAATTAACAACAAAATTAATGAAATGTCAGTATGAATTACCCAAACCAACCCAAACTCAACAACCCAACCCAACCGACCCCGCCCCATTGGGCCCCCCGCCCCATTGAGCGACCATTTAATATTATACAATTGACAAATATGCTAAATAAGGATTTTTTTCCACCCGGTGTACTTTTAATAGCGGTACTCCCGGTGTACTTCTAGTCACTTTGTTTTATTATTTGGTCCAGTGTTAATCTGTGTTTTATAACTTTTAATAAAGTCTTTTATGCATATTTTTTTTTAAGTTATACAAATATTTTTTTCAATGACAAAATATTATCTTTAAATTTAAATCACTTAATAAAGCCGAATTACAAAAAAGATTATTCTTGATTTTGCATTTAAAATTAAATTTTTCATAGGTATGAATTTTCATTTTGTTTAACTAGTTTTTAAATAGGTACTCTGTTTTTTTAAATTGAATTTCTTAAGAAAACGGAAATGAATTTTCATTTTGTTTAACTAGTTTTGAAATAGGTACTCTGTTTTTTTTTTAATTTAATTTCTTAAGAAAACGGAAATTTGGAAGTGGTGCGTTCACGAGGAAATTCCGAAGAACGAGTTGGTGGAATACTGCCAAAAATACAGCGAATCGCCGGCAGACTACCGTAAATGGCAATCTATCTATCAAAAATGGTTGGTATGGCAGAATTTGGGCGACGATATCAACTACGAAATTTACTCGACGCCTATCGAGATGGCCAGGATTTCGTGCATGGCCGTCTGCGGCAATCACGTCGCTTTAGGCAGCGAGGACGGCCGCCTTAAAATCTATAAGACGACGTGGGCCATGGTGCATTCGTCTAGGAGGCTGGCGGTGAAAATCAAGAGTCTCGCTTTCATAGACTGCGGCACCAAAGAAAAAGAGATACTCTGTATATTAATCTCGCACGCAACCGGTTTACTTGTTTCCGAAATTAACTCGTTTAACAACGAAATCGTCATTCCCGACGTTGTCTCACATAGGTAACTTTTATTGTTTTTTATATAATACTCGTATAATAATTTATATAATAAAGGTGTAGCGCCTTAACGAAAAGGTGTGGCGACTGTCATTTTAAATATTATTTGAAGTTGAATGAAGAATTTACTCAATAGTGATATAGCAAAATGGGATAAATTTGTATAAATAAATTTAGGACATACCTATTCTATTCTTTAAAACTGTTTTTGATATTCTTATGGACATTCTTAAATTTTTTGACACTTTAAAAATTTTATTTGTATTGTTTTTTACAACACATTTGTTCTATACAACAATACAACAGTACTTAAATGTGTTTATGACATTTTTATATTCTTTAATTGGCGTTTTTATATTCTGAATGTGTTGACATTTTAAAAACTGTTTAATATTCTGAATTTATTTTTGACATTCTTATAGGTGAATTCACCTATATTAATATTTGTCAAAAGGAAGAACACCCGCGTAATTATCTTTTGAATTTGCGTCGCATTTACAGGGTTGCAACGGATTACTTTTTTCGGGTTTTAACGCATATTTATATTTATTTGTTTTTTTTATTTTTTTTGAGAAAAATCTCCGTGTCAAAAAACTTAAACTTGTGTCTCAAACAAAAATTTAGGATGGGAGCAAATGTTTATATAAATTTATTATAATATTTTGGAAACGTATCAAAGTACTTTTGAATGGCGTTGTACATATGCACTTAATTCATTACCTTCGTGTTATTTTTAGCGTGTTCGGATCGTACATTTGCTACGAACAGGTTGTCTGCAGGACGACGATATGCAAACTGGTAAAATTAGACGACGACCACTTGCAATTGAAAGTAATTTGGTACTCGCGCATTTACTCGCCCAGATGCATGAACATGTGGAACGGGATATGTACATTTTTGATAGACAGCGTCGTCAAGTACATTGAGTACGAAAAGCCCGAATTTACGCCCATGTACGATTTGAAGGAGAAGACGTTCATAGACTTTAAGTTTACCTCGCAGGATAATAGTTATTCCTGTCAGAGCAGAAGGATATTAAGGGATGACGTCGTCATAACCATTTGTACGTTTTATTCCTAATAATCTTTTCGAATGAAGCATTTATTGGAATTTTGTAGATAAAAACGATGATCAAGAAAAGTCAGATTTTATCGAGTTCTGCTTCTTGGACGAGTCCAATGGATACAGTACCAAGTTATTTAACAGCTCAGATGTATTTTTGTTTAATCGAATAACGTGCATTTTCGTGTACGGAAACACTTTAATCATTGGTTTGGATATTGGAAACGTAAGAACTCGATAATTTTGTATTTTAACAATTAAGATGTTTATTTTTGGTTTAGATTTATATGTACCATGTTTCGTCGTGGAAAAATTTAAACTTGAGGAATTACGACAAAAAATTAATAATCGGAAGACACCCCATTATTAGTATAGAAGTTAAAGAGGAAGACGACGAAAGGCGATTTTATATTGCCAGCCGATTTTGTGTCCATCAACTAACTGGTTACTCTCTTAAATACAAAAATTTATAATTGCCAATTGGCCAATTTTTAAGTAGGTGATTAAGAGAGTAACCAGTTCATCTTATTCTTTTACATCTGTAGTTCTTTAAGGAACATGTTTTAAATTAATTAATATTAATTTTAAGTATAACAAAAGTGGTTTTGACATTGCTCAAATTTTATTAATTGTGTCCTAAATATTTTTATATTGTTTTACTTTGTTTAATAAAGTAATTAAGTTTTAATTGGCAATTTTATTTACTATCCTTATTCTCAATAAAATATGCAAGGTTTACAATGGTGTTTTTATATTGTTTGCTAAACAGAACTTTCGTATATGACAATTTGCACTAAAGGCGGCGAACTGACTGTTATGTCCCTTATCACTGCTTCTATGGCATCTTCCCATTCTTTTTGCTTGTATTTTTTCTCCTTTTTCGTCCCCTTTTTTGGCATAGACACCTGTTAAATAATGAAGTAAAAATAACAACTTAATACGTAATAATAAATAAAATACCAACCACTGTAAGCACTTTCATGAGGTCCTGCTGGAAAGCCATGACGTCGAGTCCGGGCGCGTTGTCGGCGAATTTCCGGAAATTTTCCGCCAGTGGCCCCCTCAAAGCTCTCAACTGACGCCACGACTGTGCATATTGCCTTCGCACCAGCTCGATTATCGTCGAAGTTAGAGCCAATCCGACTAAAATATACACGGTGCACATCAGCATGTACTTTGGTTGCTCTGAAACATCACAAATTTTAGTAAATAGGTATTTTAAACTCTAGACACGTCTTTCGTGTTTTTGGGATTAAAGATTTATAGATTTACAACCTTATGTCTCGGAAAAGTTTTCGTTTCGTTTTTATACGTGATTTCAGTGGAAAATAGGACACTTTCCCAAATTTGATAATACGTAATAGGTATAGGATATATATATCCTTTTTACGTAATAGGATATATATATCCTTTTTACAGTTACCGAAGAAATTGTGTTAATGTTTAGACCTGACTTTTCACAAAATCGGCAGTAAACTTACTCGGTACGAAATCCCCGAAGCCAATGGTGGTCATTGTTATGAAACAAAAGTAAAATCCTTCGAAAAAAGTCCAGTCCTCCTCCCATATTACGAAAAGGGCGGCTCCTGCAGCCAAATACACGAAAAGAAAGCAAACGGCCGAAAGAGCGTACGATGAAGTCCTCCTCGCCACCATTGCGTTCCTTATTTGAATTAAGAAAACATTAGTAAAACGTTATAACGGCCTCTAAGGCTTTCATTAACGCCGTTTAACTATGATTTTGCGAAAGAATCGAACGATTTTGGGGTATTTTTTTATAACACATCTCAGATTTTTTTTATATTTTAATATTGTGTTTATACATCTAATTCCACCCTAAATCTAAAATTTTTCTTTTATCTGACCTAAACTTTGGCTCCCAGAGACCATTTAATTTTACCATTCGCAAAAAGCCATAATTTCATTATAGTAGCATAATTATTTAATTAAAATACTGAATGTTTTGAGATGTGGTCCATAAATGACCCTTATTAGTACCTACAATTCTACCAAAAAAAAAATATTTTTTTACATATAGGTGGCGCTGCAGTTTTTTCTTCTTTAAAAATAGACGTTTTTTGAAGACCAAAAACTCTCTTAAGCAACAATGCTCAAAAAAACTAAATAGTATACCAGATAATATACATATTCCTTTATAATTTGATATAAAAAAATTTACTTGCAAATGATGTTGCCGCCCGTAAAGCCAACTTAAAGTTTTGTTTACCGCATTAAAAAAAATTGAATTACACTTACAACTTTATTCTTATTTATTAACTAAGGAATTCCAGGAGATTACTTTTATTGGTAACAATAACAAAGCAAAAAATTTTTTTATTTTTTTACACCTAGGGGGCGCTGCAGCCTTTTTTCTTTAAAAACTATATAGCATTTCAGATAATATAGTTATGTATTCCTTTATTATAAAGAGTTACGTATTCCTTTATTTATTTAATAGGTTTGTTCTTTATTTTATTTATTATGTTTTTCTTTATTATTATTATTGATATTACTATTTCTTTATTATTTAACATATAACAATTTATCTGCAAGATTTGCATATATTAAATAATAAAGATATATTTCGTTCTTTTCGGGTTTAGTCAATTTTTCTTTTAAAAAGTCCGATTGTCCTGGGGCCACACAGTCAAAAAAAAGGTTTTGTGTTGTATCAATAAGTTGGTCTAGATAATTTTTAAAATACCATACTGTGTATGGATATACTTTTAATGGCTGAATTAATTTGAAATTTTATTCGCTCCATTCCTAATAAATTGGTTAATTTGTCAAGTTTTTCTTTGAGGTTTTTAGCATTGTCTTCATCGAAAATTAATACGGGAGGTACCCAGTCTATATCTTTATCTTCAATGGATTGATTTTCAGCTTCGTATATGATATTTTTGTCAAAAACAAGGATTTGGTAACATTTTCTACATATTTTAGAATTTATTGGAAAATAAAAATTTGAAAACTTTTGTTTAATTTCGTATAGCTTATTGTACGAAACTTTAATTACTTTACTATTTTTTATATTTTCTTCATGAATCGGGGACTTACAAATAGAAGGAGATCGCCAATTTTTCCCATTTTCACTGATTGACAGTGAATATTAACTATTTGCCGCAGTGATAAGTATACCACTAGCAATTAGTGAATACTCACTTTTTCATGTAGCGATTTCTTTGCACTAATTTATTTAGTGGAAATTACACTGTACAAATTAGTGAAATAGGTTTAGTTCAAAAAAGTTAAAATTTCACTATTTTATGTCAAGAGTTCCGGAAAAGTAGTGATAATAAAAACACTAATTTGGAGAAGTTAAAATTTCACTAATTTATATTGAAAAACACTAATTTTACAGTGAATAATAACTCACGGACGGAAATAGTGAAAATTTCACTGTTTCACTTTTAGAGAGCTCTCTAAAAATGAAACAGTGGATTTTCACTGATTGACAGTGCATAATAACTATTTGCCGCAGTGATAAGTATACCACTAGCAATTAGTGAATACTCACTTTTTCATGTAGCGATTTCATTGCACTAATTTATTTAGTGAAAATTACACTGTACAAATTAGTGAAATAGGTTTAGTTTAAAAAAGTTACAATTTCACTATTTTATGTCGAGAGTTCCCGAAAAGTAGTGATAATAAAAAATACTAATTTGAAGAAGTTAAAATTTCACTAATTTATATTGAAAAAAACTAATTTTACAGTGAATAATAAGTCACTGACGGAAATAGTGAAAATTTCACTGTTTCACTTTTAGAGAGTATGTATACGATAATAAAGAATGCTTTGCCTCTCGAAATATACTACAATATATTTAAACAAATGGTCATATTACTATTACTTTAGAGTCACTGAAATACTTGTAATTAAAATTTCTTTGGTTTGTTACCTTTTGTCCGCATACAACAATAAAAGCGAAAAAAGGCGTTTATATAACAATATGCGGGTACGTGCACTAGTTATAATTTTAATCGTCCCTACAACAGGCATTAATTATTTCTAATAAATTGTTATATGTCAAACAATAAAAGAATATCTATATTATCTGATACATTATAAATAATGTCATTAGTTTTTTAAGCAATGTTGCTTAAGTAAGTTTATGGTCTTTATAAACGTCTATTTTTGAAAAAAGGCAGCGCCCCCTGTATATAAAAAAATAAAACTTTTTTTTGTTGCGTTTTAGTTACCAATAAAAGCCTGGAGTTCCTTAGTTTATAAATAAGGATAGAGTTGAAAGTGTAATTCAATTTTTTTAATGCGGTAGACCAAACTTTAAGTTGGTTTTACGGGCGGCAACATCATTTGCAAGTAAATTTTTATATGTCGAATTATAAAGGAATATCTATATTATCTGATACGCTATTTAGTTTTTTTGAGTATTGTTGCTTAAGAGAATTTTTGGTCTTCAAAAAACGTCTACTTTCGAAGAAAAAAAAATTGCAGCGCCACCTGTATGTAAAAAAAATTAAACCTTTTTTTGACAGAATTGTAGGTACTAATAGGGGTCATAAATGGGTTAAATTTAAAATCATTCGGTATTTTAATAAAAAATGTATGCCAAAATAATGGAATTTGGCCTTTTTGCGAAAGGCAAAATTAAATGGTTTCTAGGAGCTAAAGTTTAAGTCAGATGAAAGAAAAATTTTAGATTTAGTGTTAAATTGGATGTATAAACAAAATATTAAAATTTAAAAAAAATCTGAGATGTGTTGTAAATCGATCGTTCGATTCTTTCGCGAAATCATAGTTAAGTTGCACCGGCACATAGTGATTCTGTTTGTGAATTTAAATTTAAAAAAATGTTGGGAATACAAATGTGTTATTTTGGACAATATAAGAAACAACAATAATTGTTTTTTTTATATCATTGGCGTACCTTTTTTATCTCTAAAAAGAGATATTATCACCCCGTAGTGGCGCAACTGCTTCTAGTATGAAAACGAATTTAATAACTAATAAAAAAACAAAACTCACCAAATTTTAATAAAAGTTTAGGAGAAATTAATTTTTTCAAAATATAAATGCTGTATTTCTGAAACCGTTTAGTTTTAGATATAAGTTTATTAAGAAAATAATATTATTTTAACGTTTTTTCTTGATTACCAAATTATTTTGGACCACCCTGTACAGTAAAAGTCTATAGAACTAAAAAACTAAATAAATAAAGAGGCTTTTGTCTATACAGGGTGGTCCAAAAGGAACCTTTAATAATTTAGGAATAAAAAAAACGGTAAAATAATATTAATTTTCTTCATAAACTTATACCGGGTGTATCTGAGAATAGGCGCACCCCTGTAACTTTTTTATTTATAAAGATAGACACATGAAATTTAGCATAGTTAATTAGGATATAAAATGCCACTTATAAGAGTACAAAATGAATTTTTTGAATTTCCGGTTTCGCCGGAAATGATATCAACTTTCGATTTTTAAATGGAACGCCCTATATATTATTACATATTTAGAATCCTGAGAAAATAGTCGGACAGCTTCCTCAAATTGACTTTTCGACGTTTCGTCATCAGAAAATGCATCATCATAAATATCAATCTAGAGTGCTTTGAACTATTTGAGAAAAACGAATTTTGCCAAGTTTAGACTGCTGGGAATAGCTGCATAACAACTTTCTAAGGCAAGTTCCATTTTTCAGGCATTGTGTGAATCCATTAGAAGAAAATAAGATAGTTCAAAGCACTCTAGATTGATCTTTATGATGATACATTTTATGGCGTAACTAAGCGATTTGAATTTGAATTACCCGATATTTGATATTTTTTGGTAATTTAAACATTTCTGAATAAATATTTTAACAAAACTATTATATTTTCACTTATTTATTTAGGCAATATTAGCAGATTTCCAAAAGAAACAGATAAAATTGTAATATTTTTTTAAATTCACCTGAAACCGAAAAGTTTAGTAAGAATATTCTACCAGGTCGCAAAACATATTGGGTGGTGTATTAACATAACTTTCGTTTTATTTAACACTTCGATTTATAAAATTATAATTTTGTAATTTAACTTTATAAATCATTTATTAATTTGTAATTGAATATTTTCAATGGACTCCTTTTTGCAAAAATTACCAAACCTACAGTATATTTAACGTTTACGTTTATTTTCTTAAATCAATTTAATGTTTAGTTTTATTTTTATTTTCTGTAAAGATATTTTTTTTTTAATTAAAATAATGTTAGGTTGTTGATTGCTACTTTTTTTAAATGTGAATATTTTTCAAAAAAAAATAATTTTTTCCCACAAGAGACAATTTTTCCAAGGCCTGGGAAAAACAGGTTTTTTCCCATTTTTTCCTTTTTTCCGACACTTTAAAACCCTAGTCCTGACAGACTCAACGGTGGGTGCCTGATCAAAAGTGTGTCTCTGAACTGAGGGTTAACCCAACCAAGAATAATCAAGCGTTTTTCACTTTTAGGAGTTTGTCACCTTGCTATATAAGAATGGGGGATTTAGGAAATGACAACCTTTGTCCAAACACGTTTAGACGCAAAAGAATGTGTGCAAAAAATATCTCCAGATCAAACTTTAGGCGCACATGTATCTTCGGTGCCCCTCCGCAACGCGGGGTCTGCGGGGGCGTTATTTACGCCACTGATTGGGTGTTGGGTTCGTTGGTTTGTTTTAGTTTTATCGTAACCATAACATGAAATCGTAAAATTATGACGTCAGTCGGGGTCGAAATTAAGTTCCGCATAGGGACTGTAGACAGCGAATTTTTAATTAGTGCATTAAATTGACATTTAACTATTTTAATAGTATATACTATTATATTTTATCAAGTTTGATAAACACCATTTTAGACACGAATTTAATAAATGAGTGTCTAGAAAAGTTTATAAACGAGGTGCATACTATACTTTTTCTACGACAAATACTTAAAATATCTTAAAATAATTTAAATAAAATATTTGTATGGAGCGTCATCTATAAAACAATAGGGGAATCTGTGTTACCGTCAAATGTCAATTTTTTATGTCTTATAAACACAGATTATAAAGGTTATAAATCGAAATGTATTCCTTGAAAATGGATTAACAACAGTTTTTCACCGTGAAAGTTAAGAACATGTTTTATGAGCTCTTCACAGTGGAGTCCGAGCCCAAATTTAAATTTTAGTTTACTGCCGGCGAAATTAAAAGGTCAGTACAATGTTCATATAAACTTTATTTTAACGATTGTATGACATTTGACAACTGTCAACTAAATTAACACCAACTTCAGCCCGTGACTAAAATCTGTTGCTAACTTCAGCCCATGACTAAAAGGCCATAAAGCCACAACTTTTCAATGTGTATTTAAAACTTTTTAATTAAAAGGTCATGGAAACATGTACGATAATGGGCTTTTTAAAGATGGGAGTAGAAAAAATTATTTATTAGCCCATTAACTATTGTTCTTCCAACTTTTTCTAAAGCTGGCAGAACATGTTTTTTTTTAAATAACATTAAATTTTTAATTAGTGCATTTAATTCGAATTTTTTAACACCTAATTATGGAATTATACAAATTTGCGTTCTGCTAACTTTGCTCTGCCATCTTTAGGGACATTACAATAAACATTATTGATTTGTTGCTATAAATTACTAATAAAATCATTAAATACAATTTTAAGTTTTTTTAAATCAACTGTTTGTTTCAGAAATTTAAAAAAGATAAGATCATTGGCGTACCTTGTATTCTCTAAAAAGATAAATTATTACCCCCGTAGTGACACCACTGCTTGTAACTATGGTATTTAATAAAAAAAACAATACTCACCAAATTTCAATAAAATATGTTCTTTATTTTTTTTCTAATATATGCAACTTTAATACCTTGTATGTCTAAAACTGTTGGGTAAACGATATAAGTTTATTAAGAAAATTAATATTATTTTGAAGTTTTTTATTAATTCACAAATTATTAAAGGTTCTCTTTGGATCACCCAGTAGAATTGCAATTTAAATCACTGTGCGGCATAACAACCAAGTAAATAAAAAACACAACTATTTCATTTGGTAAACGATTTAATTTAGTAGTTACCTACCTATACTTCATGGGCAACGGGGGAATGTGTTTCATTAATGTAGAAACGGTAGAAGCAAATATTCTTCCCCAATCTGCAATTACGGTTAATGTTAGTGGAATTCCCACGAGAGCGAAAACTATACAAAACGCCCTGCCCTCTGTCGTTACCGGCACAATATTTCCAAATCCTAAAAAACAATTTAATTAAAGATTGACCACGCGAAGATAAGCAGAACAAAGTTTTGCTTTTTACTTCACGGCCAATAAATTTAAACAAACGTCTCAATTATTTTTCGTCCCCTTATTTTCGTAATCTCGACTCGGAAAAAATGCTCATCAATTGATTATTTTCTATGAAATATGTGCGCGTCCCTAAAGGCTACTTATCTTTTATTGCCACAAAAATATCAAAACAAACAACTTTGTCTTTCCATCAAATTACCACTGGCTATTCATATATGACTACTTATATCATCCAATTAAGAGCAACACTTTTATTCGAATCAAGTTTTTATGTAAAATAGGGCCAAAAACAAAAAAACTAATGGATAATAAAACTCATCATTCGGATAATATAGTGTACCTATATCATGTGTTTTTTGAAAAGATCGTATATGTAGTAAACGCTATAAAGGAAATTTTATGAGACCCATATTGTTGTATATCAATATAAAAATGTCTGCTTAATAACACACAGTGTATCCGTAAAAAGTTTTGTTCGGATCTATAATTTTTAAATTTGGTGAATGCCCCAGGAAAAAGTTACAACTTGGCGGATGCACGAGGATTACTTTACAAAAATGGCGAATTCGCCGGGATACCATTTAAAAAATAACTTAATTTTAGTTTAAAAACGATAAACGAAGTTAAAAGATAATACAAAAAAAATAAAGAAACATAAAGCTTGACATAAAACAAAAAGGTTAACAATGGTTTTCATATCAATAAAAAAGGAATGTATATTCGGTGCCACTTTTTTTTTTAATCATAATTTTTTTTGGCAAGGTTTTCGAGAAATGATGTTTTATTTGAGTATTCGAGTTAGAAAAGGCAAATCTGGATGCAAAAGGTGTCAAATTAAACTTAATAAAATCGCCGACAAATATCACTCCCTTAATGCCCAATCAATTGACTAGTTTAAGTGCAATGGTGTTGAATATTGAAAAAAAATGTTTTCAAGCTTATAACAATTTTAATTTTTTAACACTCATAAGCCTAAAATAAAATGTAGCAAACTCGAGACTTTTAAAGTAAGTACATAATTAATTAAACGCTTAAAAAATTAATATATGGGTCATTCCATATAAAATCACCAAATTTTAAAAATTGTATTTTTTGATTCAGTTAAATTTTTGATATGTTTTTGTACGTATCAAAAGATGCCTAACCCTAAATTTTAAGTCGCAAAAAAATAACGATACGGTAACTTTCAGAAATTCATGCTCATGCTCAACTCCTGCTTAAATTATCTTAACCTCATTTGACCGGTGGCTATTTTCTTCGTTTTAAAAAAAATAAATAAAAACCAAAAAATTTTTTCACTGTTTTTTCTTAACTTTTATCTTAAATTTTGAGTTTTTCTGAAGAGCGACATTTTTGATTATTTTGAAAAAAATATATGTTATATGTAAAACAAATTTTTTAGGCCCATAATGAAAGTGGGATTCAAATATCTTCAATTTTTTAAGCCACTTTTTAGTATTTTTTAACCATAAATTCGAGTTTTTTTAATATTTTCTAATTTTTTACCAAAATTTCAATGTTAATAATATATTATTATAATATTATAATATTATGAACAACTAATATTTTTATACTGTGCCAACTATGTAAATTACCTTTTTTTGGTACAATGAAATAAAAATATTTTTTTCATTTATTTTATTCTTCATTTTTATGAGTTTTGCGGACTTTAGTATACTGTGAAATATAAATAATTGAGGGAATAAGAGAAAGTTTTTCTATTTTATGCCCATAAAAGATTTTTGTATTGCTTTAATCTACTGCATTTTATATTGTACAAAAAAATTTAGTTGAATTATTTTATTATCTTTGATTTCTTGTCCTCTTTGTCGAATTAATCGTTGGTTTTAGAATGGCCTGCGTTTTAAAATCGGTTGATTGCGAGTATCTTTTCACAATTACAATCGATAATGAAAAACATTGTAAGTACGTATATATTTCACAGAAGAAATACAAAAACTAAAAATAATTCAAAAATGCATGACAAAGCGCCAGAAAAAAATTAAAATATTATTATTATAAAAATTAAAAGAATAAGCGCAGAATTATTTATCAAGCATTGCAAAATTATTATTATTATTATTATTATTATATTAAACGTGAATTTATGATATTTTGTTAGGAAATTTAAATGAAACTCATAAAAAATTAGAAAATTTTCAAAAAACTTGAACTTATGGTTAGGTACTAAAAAGTGGCTTAAAAAATCGAAGATATTTGAATCCCACTTTCATTATGGGCCCAAACAATTTGTTTTCCAGTCTAGTATAACATATATTCTTAAAAAAAGTCAAAATTTAAGTTAAAAGTTAAGAAAAAACATTTTTTTTCAAAAACTACATTTCAAAACGAAGAAAATAGCCACCGGTCAAATAAGGTTACGATAATTTAAGCATGCAGGAGTTATGAATTTCTGAAAATTACCGTATCGTTATTTTTTTGCGATTTTCAAAAATTCATATCTTCGGGGCTTTTGAAAATTAAGGGTTCAAAATTTAGGGTTAGGCGTCTTTTGATACGTACAAAAACATATCAAAAATTTAACTGAATCAATTTTTAAAATTTGGTGATTTGACATGGAATGAGCCATATACACGGCGGAGAAAGCATATTAAGTGCCTCGCTCAGATCAGCTCTAACATATTATATAGGCGCTTTCTCCGCCTGTTAGATAATGTACTCTTTTTGGGCAATTTGCCCAGGGCAAACAATAGAATGCAACATTTACTTTTTCGTCAAGAACGAATAAAAATAATCGAAATATGACCATTTTCGAATTACCCACAGCAAAATTTAACTTTTGGACTTTTACCCAATTAGTAGCGTAAATTGTTGGAACGCAATTAATTTACAATACATTTTAAGAAAATGTTTTTTTTGTTATTTATTTAATAATTATAGTTACTGGAGTTTTTTGGTACAAATTTTAAATTTCACAGTGTGAATCACGACTATAGTCATGTGTGTACGAACATAATCTTTTTACGAGTCAGAAAGCGCCTCACAGTGGTCTGAGAGGCAAATTTACGCGGCAAAAATCCAATTTTTAAAACACTTTTGAAGCCTCTTTATTGTTCGTGACAGATTATTACCTAAGATTTTAAACTTAGATTGTCAAAAATACTCTTTCGGAATCTTGTCTTTTTCGTGTAAAAAAGGTGTTGCGTAAATATAATAGTGAAAATTAGTGTCAAAAATTTATAGTAGGGATAAAGTTGAGTACAAATACAACTTTAAAATGTCTTTTTTGGATTTTTTGCCAAAAATATAGCTTTTTTTAACCTACAAATTCTCAAGTTTTGTAATTACAAATAATAAATGGAATATAAGTAAAAATTTATAATTACTTGTCCAGAACCACATAGTGCATTCGAAAATATGAACCTCCAGCTCCGACTTTATAAAAATTCATCTGCCTTTATGCGCCTATAAGAGAGTTATGCAAAAATGAAAAATGGCCGACAAATTACCGCTAACCTGGTATGACCAGTAATATATTTTTTAAATTTGACAATAATTATTGCATTTAAGAATGGTAATACAATTTTCTTTACTCCTATTACATAATATTATTTTTTAATATACTTTGTATATTATACAGTGTGCCAACGGATGGTAATGACAATAGAAAAAAATTATTAGGTATGATACGAAAAAAAACATGTTCTTTAAAAACTCTTGCTTGTTTCAAAAATAAGATTCCTACACAAACATTTTGAATTACATGTACAGGGTGCTCAGAAACTAAAAAAACTCAAAAAACTAGAAGTGCGTTTTAGGGAAAAATTAATTCTTTTTAAAAATATTTGATGGTTAAAAATTACATTAGATGCACAACTCTGTATTTGCAGGATAAGTGATTTTAAGAAAAACACGAAAAACCGCTCATAAGGTCATATTTAAAAAAAAAATACAAAAATCGTATAGACGTGCTTTTGCATCATTTCTTATTTAAAAAAGTAAAAAAAGTCCTTTAAAATTAAGTAGTTTAGTAAATAATTGAAATCAAAAGATTTAAAAACATAGTTTTGCATCTTCCTCGTTCAAATACCAAGTTTTGCAAGTGAAAAGTGCAAATACCAAAAAAATAACAATTAATCAGGTGATTGTTATGCCGTCAGTTAATGCGTATACTAGCGACGTGATTGGTGATTGGTCAAATACCGAGTTTTGCATCCGACAGGAAGAAACAAATACCCAGTTTTGCAGCTGCGGTAAGTTTATAAATGTATTTTATTCTACAAATATTAACTTATGCATCTGGTTTACTTAGGTATGCTGTGGGCAGTGTAGTTATGAACATAAATAAGATAAAATATATATTTTTTAAAAATGTGCAAAAACCGAGTTTTGTATCTAATGTACTCATTTAACGCATAATAAAAATAATAAGTTTTCCTATTGTCAACCATCACGATATTGGCTAAAGGGTTGTTAAAAAGAAATATGGTGAAATGTAAAATGTTGATATAATAATATATTTTTGATACTTTGAAGGTAATGGTTTTTCGGTTATTCATGATAAAAAATTATGCTTGCGCCATGTTGAAATCGCCGCCTAGCTGGTACGAACTATAAACATTTATTTATTTAATAAATAAATTATTAAATATAAAACATAAAAAAACAAAAAATACACAAATATTAAAAAAATTCATTTTATATCATTTGGCTAGACTTAGCCCCCTCAATACCAAATATTTTTCAAACAAATTTATATAACAAGTAAATTTAGCACCTTAAAAACATAAAAAACACGTCTTGGGAAAAATATTTAAAGAATAATTTTTGCCGCGTAAATTTACCTCTCAGACCACTGTGCGCCTGGAGAAATAAACCTAATAATTAAAATCAAGGGCTTACCTTGTTAGGGAATTTTAGGCCTAAATCTGGCAACACTGAGTGTGATGCTATTTTCTTAGATTAACGATGCTGTAACCTTTATACTGCCCAACTAAGGAGAAAGGCAGTAACTGCTAAACAAGAATTCTGTGGAAAATTGGCATGAACTAAATTTTTATAAAAAACAGTAGATATTTAATTGATTTATTTAACTTATGAGATAGTTTACTGCATTTCTTAGTTAAATTAAGATAAAAAATGTCCATAGCTTTATCATAGCACAAGAAAACGCATTAAGAATTTTTTTGTAGTTACTGCCTTTCTCCATAGTAGGGCAGTATAATCTGTGGCTGTTTCTGTTATTGACATTGACATACACCGACAAAATTAAAATTTGAAGAAAAAAATCTTAGGCCCAGTTGTATAACAGTTGGTAAACAGCTGGTTAACTCTTGATAATAATTAAGTAATGATTAAGCTAACTTTTAAGTTGTATAAACATTGATTCAAATTTAATTAAGTGATTAACGTACAATTAACAAATCGGTGAATTTTGTGTGGTTAACGACGGGTTAGAACACACCTAGACCAAACCAACACACATAACCTTATAAATGTCAACGTTTAAAAATTTTCATTATTTTTTTGTTAGTTTTTATCTGTGGTTAGCATTAAAATGGTAGAACATTTAACGGATGATGAAGATTTTTTTTATAATTAGTAGAAATTGTTATTTTTTCTAGAAAACCGAAACTTTCGTGCTAGACCTGAATATTTTACAGATTTAAATATAGAAGAATACAGAGACAGATTTCGTCATTCAAAAAAATTATAACTTTTTGAATTTAAGAAATATCAGCCATAATTTATTTAAGAACTAATACAAAATAAGCGCTTTCTTTTAGGCAAATGATTGAATTAACTTTACGATTTTTGGTAACGCGTTCATTTTGCATTCTACAATGTTTTTATATTTTTTACTACCTATTCAAAGCAATAGCCAAGATTTTTTTCCACTAAATCTTTTATTTTTGACCAACAAGCCTATGCTAAAGCCATTTTTTTGTATATTTTGTACAAAATATTAAAACCTTTACCCAAAAACACAAAACACACACCTGCAAGAAGAAATGTAATTAAAGCTACTTACAATTGCACATTAATGTATGCAATAAATAAATAAATACCAATATACTTACTAAAATCTTCCTAAACAACAAAAATTATTAATATTAATTTGAGGAGGACATGGTTAATTTGACAATAGACCTATCCCATAAAACGGACTTTTGGATAGCGCGTGCGTGAAAAGGCACGTCGTCTTTTTTTAATTATATAAAAGAGAAAGAGATACCACTCTTCTTCAGGCACGCGCTATCCAAAAGTCTGTTTTATGGGATAGGTCTATTACGAAAATTATGACATGACAAATACGAACATTTGGTGATTTTTTAGTGAATTCCCCTAAATTTGAAAATTAACTAATTAAAACATAACCGAGTGTTGCACAACAAAATTTTCTTTAACCAGCTATTATTGAATAATCCGTAATTTATTAATCTGTTGTTAATCGGACTTTTATACAACTGGGCCTTAGAAATTAATATATCAACGGCAAAATCTTTTTAATCGAATTGTATACAATATATTGTGAACTCATTGCATAAAACTACAGTGAAAACCCGAATAAATTAATTCAGTAATTGAATTCGTGAATTAAATCAAATCATTTTGTTTTAATATTTAATACCCTCTATTTTTTAAATAACCTTAAACATATTTTTTTGTAATTATGTTTAAATTACTCATTATCTGATAAAAAATATTCATTTGAATGGTTAATTAAATCTAAATTAAATCTAAAGTTATCATGTTTTAAAGACACCTACAATGATAAATTAAAGAAAACATTTTTTTGTTAGTCGTATTTCAATTCACTACGATTTACAGGGTGTTATCTACGCCACATTGTTTATTAAGCTTTCCTTTATAAGCACACCGTTCTAGCATTTTATAGATAATAGTTTGAAGATTAAAGTTTAGCACTTTAATTATGTTTTAAAAGAAATTAAATTGATAGTCAAAAAATATTTTAAATATAATATGCAACTGCAAAACTTTAAGTTTAAAAATATTAATGTCAAAAAATTGTAGTTCTAATATTTTATTTTACAAAATAATCGGTTTAAATTTGTATAGGATACCGTAAACACGGGTGGCTTTGGCTCACTTTCAAACTTCAGCTTAAAATTTTTGTGGTTTTAACAATCATAAACATTAAATTTTGTATACCAAAATTTGAGTCTTGAGTTGCTCTTTCATAATAACTATGTTATATTATTACATAGGGCTGAGTTTCAAAAATAAACATTAAAAACTGGGTGTGCTAAGTTACCCCCTGGTTGCGGGTTACTTTGTCTCACAGTGTTTTTTCAGTATAAAATGAATGTAATATTATATTTTATTTTTATTAGACACGTGTTAGCAGCGACATATATCTATTGCAAGGGATTACCAATAAAAAATAAATAAAAAATCGACCTGTAGTTAACCAAGGATCATCATTCCAATGGATTGCGCATAATATAGAAATTGTAACGCGTGTATTTCTAAGAGTTTTGCACTGATACGATATATACAATTTTAAAGTGTAATAAATCCCATTTCTTTCTTTAAAACACTGATTTTCCTGTAATATAAACTCAATAGAATCGCTCAATTGACAGGTTTAGACCAACAAATTATAAATGTTAATTTTATCGAGCGCAAAAAGATTTTTCATAAATGGGTTAAAGTCACCCGCGGGGTGCAAAGTCACCCGTATTTACGGTATATCAATAACGTAAAGTTCCAAAAATACAAGGAATCGAAAAATAAATTCATATATAGGGTGATCCATTGAAAAAAAATAAACTTTTTGTTTTTCCCTGTATACTGATCAATTTTAAAATTTTCTTTATACGTAGAAAAAAAGTATTTTTTAGTTCATACATAACCACACTTTTAAATTTTTTGGGACACTTAAAATAAAAAAGTTAAAGGGGGGCGACATTATAGGGGATCACCCTGTACATAAACGGTCATAACTTTGAAACTTATCCATAGATTTTTTGTAAATAACTTATTTTCTTTGTAAAAGTGTGGACACAACTGATTGAGTGATATTGGTCGGCGATTCTATTATGTTTAGTTTGACACCTTTTGTAATCAGGCTGACCGCTGCATTCGAAAATCAAATGAAAAAAATGCTTGGAAAATTGCATTGTTATTTTTGAGTTTAGCAGGCCAAAATACACATACAGAAAAAAATAGTGGCATCGAATGTACATTTTGTCTGTAAACCAGTGTTATTAATATTTACTATGAAATATTTAAACAAAATATATTTGTAATGCATACCTATAGTTGTTAAAACAGTGGATGAGAAAAATACGGCCTTTAAAATAGTCCATTTGACATCTAATTCTTCTTGAAAATGTAGCGGTATTCCGGCCAAAAAGGAATTTTCCAAAACTTGTTCATAGTCGTACAACAAATTGTCTAGGCTGTTATAATCCAATGTTTGATTGAAAAAAGACTGCAGCAACATCTGCCTCTTATCATACAGGGTGCTGCTAAAAAAATCCCTTCTCGTAACTTCAGCGGGATGCTCAAATTTCCGAAATACCTGAAAATTAACTGTTTTATGTTAAAATGCTTTCAGTATAATGTATTTTAGCCGTTCTTATGTACATTGTAAATGTTTTAAAACCATAATTATTCCTTCATAAACCACGGTGCAAATTATTTCGCTTGTAGGTAATTCAAATTTATGTGTTTTTACGCACCTGTAAAATTAAGAATGTCTATGAAATTCACTTAATTTTTTTAAACATACTAACACAGTTGTAAATCTTTTAATGTCTGTCGAGAATAAATCGAATTTGCTTACAGAAAATAAAAAGCTAGCGAGAGGCCAATAAATGAATTAAAGAAACTTTCAAACCGGCAATTATTTTTAGTTTTATTTGTAACATTTAGCTAGTTGTATATGTATGTATGAGTTGGAATATCTTTCATATAAATATTTATTTGAGTTGAAATTTGCGTTTAATAAACAACTCGCGTGTTTTATTTTAAAAATGTAATTTTCGCTTCATTAATTTAGTTTGGATTTATGAGTACGTAAATAAATTAGTTAAATTTTTTTGGACGAGAAATATCTTTCGAGATTAACTGGGTCGAAAGGCAAAGTTTTAAATTGTCTCAAATATGATAATAGTACGCCTCGAGATTTATTTTATTGCTTTTTATTGCTTTGGGGTGAACTTTCTATTATTATAACGCCTTTAGCTTGGAAAATTTAAATGATATTAAAGTTGTCTTATTATTTTGGACCACATGATATAAATTAAAAGGATAGAGAGTATAGGAGAAAGGATAATCTAGCCATATATCTTAAAATAAACAGCTATAAATCCAAGCCGAAAAATGTTTTTTATGTAATTGAGATTAACAACCCGAAAAAATCAATTTTTTTATTAGCTCATAAACTACATAAATTAATTTATATAGGCAGCATATAAATTTACTGTTCAATATCATACATGTATGAATAGATTTAAATTTGGGCATTTATATAAAAATGTTCTTAAAAATATAGTTTATTTCGAATTTTACGATAGGTTTAGATTTAATCTACTAGACGTTTTAAAAACTTTTGTATTTTAGAATTAATTGGGAAAATAGCACAGACAGAAGTTTTGAAATTTATTGCCTCAATCGTATTTTCATTACGTTGTCAGCGGATCAGATTTTGATTAATGTATTTAATGGCAAACAAATAAATTTTTTACATATATCAGCTTTCAAAGTAAATTGAACAATTTAAAAATATTTTTAAAGCATAATTTGTACATACCAAACCTCCGCAAACTGTATAAGCCATTAAAAAAATCAACAATCCTATATGTTGCAATGCTGCTTTTAGTTTTAGGCGCGTCCACCAATTTTTTAATCGCGTTTTAAAGTCTAAAGAAGAACTTATGTAAACTGTCGTTTCAACTTTCTCCATTACAAACAATAATTAATAAATAAAAAATAATAACGCAACATCCCCTTTACTTCTTGGCCAGTAAGTTATCTTGGCGACGAGTGGATGAAAACTAAGTAGACGCTTGGCGTCGCGACGTTTAAAATCCAAAAGCAAAAATGTAACAACATGCGCGAAATGGATTTCGATTCTTCGCTTGATACACAATACTTTTGTTTACTAAACAAATCTTTTCCTGCTTCCTGACAAGCTTATTTGATCATAAATAATAATAAATTTATAAGTTTAATTATTTAAGTACAGTCCTAGCGTTGAGTGAAATATTAAATCAACGGTAGCTTATAAGCTTATTTTATATATATATATTTTCAATTCGTAAATCGTAATTCGCATCTATTTTGGATACATTATTTTCTCACTAGGCGATATTTGCCATGCTTATTATGGATAACCTAACATTTTCTATTTGTTTCTATATCGTCGTAGTAAAAGTCAAGGGAGTCAACCCAAAATTCCATAAATCCGCGGATCTTTTTGTTTTTATACAGGGTGAGTTTTAAGTTGACGCGTTCCTTTTAACAGCGTGTAGAAATCAGATAGACAAATAAATATTTTAAGTAACTTTTTTATCAAAACTCAAAAATAAGCGAGTTATAGCCCTTCAAAGTTTAATTAAATTTTGAGCCGGTCCTGGCTATTGTTAACAAAAAAACATAACCATAAAAATAAAAATAACAAAATAAACAATGCAAAATGTCATCTATGACAACAAACATAACCATTTAAATCAAAATGACATTTAGCAATGAAAAATGTCATTATTTACTTAAGTTTTTTTTGGGCCTCAATTATTGTTAAAAATGTGTCATTTTGGTTTAAATGATTATGTTTGTTGTCATAGATGACATTTTGCATTGTTTATTTTGTTATTTTTATTTTTATGGTTATGTTTTTTGTTAACAATAGCCAGAACCGGCTCAAAATTTAATTAAATTTGAAGGACTATAACAATCTTATTTTTGAGTTTTGATAAAAAAGTTACTTAAAATATTTATTTGTCTATCTGATTTCTACACGCTGTTAAAAGGAACGCGTCAACTTAAAACTCACCCTGTATAAACAAAAAATCCTAATTTTGGTCACAGTAAATCTTTGCGCGCGTTTTTCTGAAAAGAACCGCGGATTTATGGTTTTGTGGCTTAACTCTCTTGACTCAGGGATTTTTTAACATGAGTTTCTAGTTTGTTTATTTTATTTTGTAAAATTTTAACATAATTTTTTGTAGAAAACCAGGGTTTGCAATTATTTTAACAAAGGAAAATATTTTAACTAAAGTTTTGTAAAGGTAATATGCAATTTTGTAAGCATTTTGTTAATTTCTAAGGTTACAGATTATTTTGTTAATGTTTAACAAATAATTTCGTTGAAAAAATACACGTGATTTCAGGCAGTCAATCAAAACCTTTCCCACTGACAATACGCATCAACAAGTTCAACTGATTTCAGCGTCTGCAACTTATGTTTCTGCTTACTTTATTCTAATTCGTAACGTGTTCGTAACAACTGTCCAGAGTGTTTATAATACGAGGTGTGTTCAGAAAATATCGAGAATTTTCGTTTTTTGAAACAAATATTTATTTATTCGTCTACATTAATGTTGTCGCCTTCAAAATAGTCCCCATTGGATATTATGCACATGTGCCAGCTCTTCTTCCAATACTCGAAACACTTCTAAAACTCGATCTTTGGGATAGCCTTTAGTTCTTTCAGCGATGCGCTTTTAATGTCATATATGCTTGCAAAACGACGGCCCTTTAACCCTTTCACTCCGGGAGTCGCAAAAATGCGTAAATTACTGACCTCACAGATACGCGGGAGACGCATTTTTTCAATTAGGTGGAGTCATTATTAACGACGGGAAACACACGTTTGCGGCTACATCGATACAATTAGACGGTCTTTGTCTCTGCGCTGGTGGAACCGTTTCCCGCTCTAATAGCATTTAGGTTAGTTTGCCGCAAAACGATTTCGGGGTGGCATAAATGCAGTTTATTTGAAAAAATTTGTTATAAAATATATTAAATTAGCAACAATGAGTAAGAGATACCTTACTGAAAAAGAGCTGGAGCAGGCGCTATATAATAGTGACGAAGACGAAGTTGAGTTTGATCCTGAGAGCGGGAAACGCACGTTTGCGCAAGGCTTGGATTTGCCCGTATGGGGGGACCACATGGCGCGGGCGAGCCCCGTAGTGAAAGGGTTAAGGTTCTCTTTATTTTTGGGAATAGGAAAAAGTCAGACAGAGGCATGTCTGGCGAATATAGAGGCTGGGGCATCATAACAGTATTGTTTTTGGCCAAAAATTTTGTTCAAAATTTAACAATTTTGGAACAAATTTTGCTGCCACGCGTTTCATATCCAAAACATTCAAAAAAATTTCATAAGATGAGCCAATCGATATACAAACATCATCAGCGATTTCTCTGATGGTTTATAACCATTTCTTCCACTTTTTCCATACTTTTATCGGTTTTTAATGTGCTTGTGCGTTCGGGGCGTTCGTCATCTTCAACGTCTTCACGGCCATCTTGGAAACTCTTATACCACTTGTAAACTCTTGTTTTACTTATAGCAAAATCACTATAGGCCTTTGTTAATATTTTACAGAATTTATTTAATTTTTTAAGCAAAATTGGATACAAATTCTTTGATCTATTTCTTTCGAACGAACGAAAATCGCCGAGCTCATAAAACACGTCTAACCTTAGCGGCTGCCACAGACAAAGTAAACAATGAAAACAGCTAAAGTTTTTATCATACTTCGGGGGCATGTAAACCAACATAATAAAGAAAATTTTATGACAACCGGACCCTCGAACCCGCGAAATTTAACAATTCCAATTATTTTCTGAACAAACCTCGTATATTACCAGAAATCTGTTATTGTTATTCGGATTCCTTATACCTATTTAACGAGTGTGCGAAGAAAAAAGTGTTGTAGTAAGACTGATAATTATATTGTACCAAATGTCTTTATAATTTGATAATTTTAGAATGGGTATAATTGTGTGTATGTTATTTTTGTGTTTATTTATGTAGGTATGTGTTAATTTTTTGTGTGAAATTGATTAATAAAGCAACTTTTCTTATTAAAATTTTTTTCATTTAAGTTACCAATTTCCAACAAATACTTTTTTACTGGGTCTACAAATATGTTATATGGTTATTTAAAAACGTATCGGTAAACTTTGGTAAATTATGATTTGCACCACTTTAATTTGAATTATCTTAAATAGGGGGCAGGAGGCTGGTACGGCCAGCTAAAATACTAACTTTTTTCGCAAACTTCAATTTAAATTCTGCTTGTGCAGATCTTGTCTATTCAATGGCATTATAAACTCGTATAAGTTTGGAGTGGGTCCCATGTCTAATAACTAAGATATCGGTATACCCAAAATCCACCAGCCGCCACTGATATTGAGTCCGATACAAACCGATGCATTTTTTAAATTGGTTTCTATGGATCATTTTCGGCAGGGTATAATATTGTCCAGGACTATTAATAGTCAGTAACTTGCAAATTTAAATAAGAGAAAGTTTCGTGATTATTGTTTATCTTTTTCAATCCAAACGGTTGCTATTTTTAAAGACAGGAAAATTAACTACTAGATTTTTCACGAAAAGGTTGAACCTAACAGCAAATATTTTTTTGTACAAATAGGTAGTTATTTTTTCATTGATATCATTGCATGCAAGAATCATTACTTAATCAATTTATGAATATTTATGCATTTTCTTTTTAAATACTTACTTAAAAAAATAAATAAAAATCGTTCGCAGGAAATAACTTTTATTTTCATGTTAAAATCATTAAGAAAATATATACCATAACGATATCTTTAAAAAAATCTTCATACAATCCTTAAATTTTCATGAAAGTCAGTCTTCACATTTAAGATTTTAATCGTTTTTAATAGTTTCTCCAATAAAAAAATTCTATGATTCAATTTCCTCAATAATTTATACCACATTAGTTCGTTTTCTTTATAATTTTTTGTTTTACAGGAATTTTGGGTGTTTTAAATTAAAACTTTAATTCAAGTTATCTTTTAAGCCTTTTTGAATCTCACTGATGGACTTTATCGCATTGTTATAGGTTGTTGTAACCACTTGATTTATGTAACTTTAGCTGTGCTTAGTCTATTGCATCTAGGAATATTAATGGATTCATCACTCCTAGACATCTAAATGAATAATGAAATAAAACCCCAAAAGCTGAAATTAAAAAATCTTCAATATTAACCACAAATTTTGAAAAACTTTCCTTGAATCACAAACTCAAATTTAAAAAAAAATATCCCTCCCATACCCAAGTGCAAATTTTAAAACGCAAATTTTGAAAAAAAAATACACTAATCGCAAATTTTAATGAAAAAAATTGGTTTCCACCCCAAAACGCAAATTTTGAATAAATATTACATCCATGCCTTCAAACACTCACGTGCATCTACCATATTTCATGAAAATAAATCGATATATATCTTAAACTAAAAACTCAAATGTGTAATCACACAAATAAATTAATCTGAAGACTGTTCATCCTCTATAATCATATCGTTTGAAAATAAGTCATCATCAGAGAGAAGTTTAACTCATCCTCAGAATCAGACTCATTTTCAAACGATATAATTAATGGTGAAACATTGCGAAAATCCATGTTGCCCATGTTTTTCTCCAGTCTTCCAAAATTAATTTTTCTGTGTGATTAACTAAATTTTCCCACATTTCAACGGTGAATTTTGATAGGAATTCTTGCCAAACTATTTTTACTTTATCTGGACTGGAAAATTTTAAATCATTAATATTTTTATTATAATATGTTTTACAAAAACCTCACACCATTTCAATGAGGTTATATTGACAATGGTATGGGGGTGGCCGAAAAGTTTCAAAACCTTTAGATTTTAGAAATTCGTCCACTACATATTTTTTTTCTGTTTTTAAAATCAAAGGTTCCGCCAGTTTCCAAAGATCGTTTTTTTAAATTTAGGGTCAAAAGAAATGTTTTTCTAAAAAGGCCGAAATAACTGGTTTGTTCGCAGATTTTGAAATTGGTTTCTCCAAAAGAACCGAATGGTTCATTATCCATTACAATAACACATTTTCCATTAATATTAATTAA